TGCTAAACATAGAAAGGAACAACAAGTACCAGCCATTGCAATAACATACCAAATGGTAAAGACCATTGACACAATGAAGAAACTGCAACTAATGGGCAAAACAACCAGCTAGTATCAAAAAGGCAGGATCAGATTCACACATAGCAATATTAACCTTAAATGTATATGGGCTAAATGCCCCAATCAAAAGACATAGACTGGCAAGTTGCCTAAAGAGTCAAGACCCATCAGTGTGCTGTATTCAGGAAACCCATCTCATATGCAAAGACACATATAGATTCAAAATACAGGAATGAAGGAAGGTTTACCAAGCAAATGGTGAGCAAAAAAAAGCAAGGGATGCAATCCTAGTCTCTGATAAAACAGACTTTAAACCAACAAAGATCAAAAAGACAAAGAAGGGAATTACATAATGGTAAAGGGATCAATGCAACTAGCAGAGCAAACTATTCTAAATATATATGCACCTAATACAGAAGCACCCAGATGCATAAAGCAAGTTCTTAATGACCTATAAAGAGACTTAGACTCCCACACATAATAATGGGAGACTTTAACACTCCACTTTCAATATTAGACAGATCAATGAGACAGAAAATTAACAAAGATATCCAAGATTTGAACTCAGATCTGGACCAAACGGACCTAATAGACACCTACAGAACTCTCCACCCCAAATCCACAGAATATACATTCTTCTCAGCACCACATCACACTTACTCTAAAATTGACCACATAATTGTAAGTAAATCGCTCCTCAGCAAATGCGAAAGAATGGAAATCATAAAGCAAATGCGAAAGAATGGAAATCATAACAACCAGTCTCTCAGACCACGGTGCAATCAAATAAGAACTCAGGATTAAGAAACCCTCTCAAAACCACACAACTACATGGAAACAAAACAACCTGTTCCTGAATGACTACTGGATAAATGATGAAATGAAGGCAGAAATAAAGATGTTCTTAGAAACCAATGAGAATGAAGACACAGTGTACCAGAATATCTCGGACACATTTAAAGCAGTGTCTGGAGGGAAATGTATAACGCTAAATGCCCACATGAGAAGTGAGGAAAGATCTAAAATTGACACTGTATCATCACAATTAAAAGAACTAGAGGAGCAAGATGAAACAAACTCAAAAGCTAGCAGAAGACAAGAAATAAATAAGATTAGAGGAAAACTGAAGGAGATAGAGACACAGAAAACCCTTCAAAAAATCAATGATTCAGCAGCTGGTTTTTTGAAAAGGTCAACAAAACAGACTAATAAAAAAGAAAAGAGAGAAGAATCAAACAGATGCAATGAAAAACAATAAAGGGGATATAACCACTGATTCCACAGAAATACAATCTATCGTTAGAAATTACTACAAACACCTCTATGCACATAAGCCAGTAAATCTAGAAGAAACTGATAAATTCCTGGACACTTACACCCTCCCAAGACTAAACCAGGAAGAAGTTGAATCCCTGAATAACAAGGTCTGAAGTTGAGGCAGCAATTAATAGCCTATCAACCAAAAAAAGACAAGGACCAGATAGGTTCACAGCTGAATTCTACCAGAGGTACAAAGAGGAGCTGCTACCATTCCTTCTGAAACTATTCCAAGCAATAGAAAAAGAGGATATCCTTCCTAACTCATGGTAGGAGAACAGTATCATCCTGATACCAAAATCTGGCAGAGACGCAACTAAAAAGAAGATTTCAGGCCAATATCCATGATGAACATTGATGCAAAAATCTTCAATAAAATACTGGCAAAACAAATCCAACAGCACATCAGAAAGCTTATCCATCACAATCAAATCAGCTTCATCCCGGGGATGCAAGGCTGGTTCAACATACACAAATCTATAAATGTAATCCATCACATAAACTGAACCAAAGTCAAAAGCCACATGATTATCACAATAGATGCAGAAAAGGCCTTCAACAAAATTCAACAGCCCTTTATGATAAAAATTCTCAATAAACTAGGTATTGATGTAACGTATCTCAAAATAATAAAAGCTACTTATGACAAACCCACAGCCAGTATCATATTGAATGGCAAAAACTGGAAGCATTCTCTTTGAAAATTGGCACTAGACAAGGGTGCCCTCTCTCACCACTCCCATTCAACATCGTATTGGAAGTTCTGGCCAGAGCAATAAGGCAAGGAAAAGAAATAAATTGTATTCAATTAGGAAGACAGGAGGTCAAATTGTCTCTATTTGCAGATGACATGATTGTATATTTAGAAGACCCCATTGTCTCAGCCCAAAATCTCCTTAAGATGATAAGCAACTTCAGCAAAGTCTCAGCATACAAAATCAATGTGCAAAAATAACAAGCATTTCTATAAACCAATAACAGACAAACAGAGAGCCAAATTATGAGCGAACTACCATTCACAATTGCTACAAAGAGAATTAAATACCTAGGAATACAACTAACAAGGGATGTGAAGAACCTCTTCAAGGAGAACCACAGACCACTGCTCAAAGAAATAAGAGAGGACACAAACAGATGGAAAAACATTCCACGCTCATGGTTAGGAAGAATCAATATTGCAAAAATGGCCATACTGCCCAAAGTAATTTACAGATTCAATGCTATCCCCATCAAACTACCATTGACCTTCTTCACAGAACTGGAAAAAACCACCTCAAACTTCATATGGAACCAAAAAAGAGCCCGCATAGCCAAGACAATGCTAAGCAAAAGGAACAAACCTGGAGGCATCACGCTACCTGACTTCAACCTATCTAACAAGGCTACAGTAATCAAAACAGCATGATACTGGTACCAAAACAGAGATATAGACCAATGGAACAGAACAAAGGCCTTGGAAGTAATGCCACACACCTACAACCATCTAATCTTTGACAAACTGACAAAAACAAGCAATGGGGAAAGGATTCCCTGTTTAATAAATGGAGTTGGGAAAACTGGCTAGCCGTGTGCAGAAAGCTGAATCTGGACCCCTTCCTTAAACCTTATACAAAAATTAACTCCAGATGGATTAAAGATTTAAACATGAGGCCTAACACCATAAAACTCCTTGAAGAAAACCTAGGCAATACCAAATTCAGGACGTAGGCATAGGCAAGGCAAGGACTTCATGACTAAAACACCAAAAGCAATGACAACAAAAGCCAAAATAGAAAAATGGGATCTAATTAAACTTAAGAGCTTCTGCCCAGCAAAAGAAACAATCATTAGAGTGAATTGGCAACCAAAAGAATGGGAAAACGTTTTTACAATCTACCTATCTGACAAAGTGCTAATATCCAGAATCTACAAAGAACTTAAATTTATAGGAACAAAACAAACAACACCATCAAAAAGTGGACAAAGGATATGAACAGACACTTCTCGAAATAAGACATACATGAATGAGGCCAACAAACATATGAAAAAATGCTCATCATCAGTGGTCATTAGAGAAATGCAAATAAAAACCACATTGAGATACGATCTCACACCAGTTAGAATGGCGATTATTTAAAAATCTGGAGACAACAGATGCTGGAGAGGATGTGGAGAAATAGGAACGCTTTTACACTGTTGGTGGGAGTGTAAACTAGGCAACCATTGTGGAAGACAGTGTAGCGATTCCTCAAGGATCTAGAAATAGAAATACCATTTGACCCAGCAATCCCATAACTGGGTATATACCCAAAGGATTATAAATTGTTCTGTTATAAAGACACAGGCACATGTATGTTCATTGCGGCACTGTTTAGAATAGCAAAGACTTGGAACCAACCCAAATGCCCATCAATGATAGACTGGATAAAGAAAATGTGGCACATATAAAAAAACCATGGAATACTATGCAGCCCTAAAAAAGGATGAGTTCATGTCCTTTGCAGGGACATGGATGAAGCTAGAAACCATCATTCTCCACAAGCTAACACAAGAACATAAAAACAAACACTTCATGTTCTCACTCATAAGTGGGTGTTGAACAGTGAGAACACATGGACACAGGGAGGGGAACATCACACACTGGGGCCTGTTGGGGTGTGGGGGGCTACTGGAAGGATAGCAGGGGGTGGCGGAGTTGGGGAAGTATAACATTAGGAAAAATACCTAATGTAGGTGACAGGGGGATGGATGCAGCAAACCACCATGGCATGTGTATACCTATGTAACAATCCTGCACTATCTGCACATGTACCCCAGAACTTAAAGTATAACTTAAAAAAAATACTTGATGTACGTATTCATAAATGACAGGTAGATTTTACCAGTTTACACTTCCAACTTTAGTAATGAGAACACTTAATTAGATTATAAAATTTTGAGTTAGAAAATGAACATGAAATTGATTTCACAGTATTGCCACTCATTTGTGGCACTCTACATACACACTTGGGGAAACTGAAAATTTGCAATGGGGAAACAATATAAAACCAATATGAAAACCAAAGAAACAATCGAGTGAATTTACATTAACACCTAGATGGCATTGCTTAAAAGCCTTTATTACTTGCATGGATGAGGCCCTAAGGAAAGGTAAAGTGCGGTTTCCTTCACCTGGAAGGAAATCCAGGCTGACCAACAGCTGTTAGGCATTAGAAACACAGAACAAAGAGCAAACTGGGAATCCAGCACTGGAAGGAAAAGGGGAAAGCCCAGGGGATCTCCGTCTGTTTTAACAAGTTATGCTGCTCCAAGGAAGAGCATTCTGGGGAGCGTAAGCGGTGAAGTTTTAGCTCTTTCCATTCTTCTAAATGAGACGCCCTCCTCTAAGTTTCAGCTCACTGGCTGTTTTCAATCCGCCTTGTTTTGTCTGGGAAGCTTCCCCGTCTCCTTGGCAACCCGAGCTACCACCAATAGCAGCTAAGGATTGGTGGTCACATGGCCTCTGTCCCTTTCCCAAGCAGAGGCAACATGGCGGCCTCAGCAAGCTGTAGCTGCGAGATTTGAATTATTCTACTCGTAGCGGTTGCTTCCCTGACGATGGCCGCTGTGGCTTCCTGCGATTCGCGTCGGAGCCCAGACGAGCTCCCTGGAAACCCCTCTTCACAAGAAGAAGATGAGGACTGTGATTCTGAAGATCGGGTCAGCGACTCGGGTTCATATTCCTCAGCGAGTAGCGATTATGAGTAAGGTTCTCAAAGAGGGACAATTAAGCCCATCTCTTCGATCCAGAGAATATACACGTGGTCTGGGGAAACTGCAAGGATTTTGGCGTGGTTGGAATCGAGTGATTGAGGTTCTATAATAAGTGGGATTTAATTGCACCACGTTCCGTTGTATGGTGGTGTAAGGAGAAATGAGGATGCCAGTCTTTGCTGCTATAGGTTTTTTAAAAATGATTCTTAGATGAGGAGAATCTCCTCTCTCTGGTCATGGGGTCTGCCTAGGCCATAGGAGGATGTATCTGTAACAGTGCTCAAGAACTCTTTGTTCCGATTGCAGTGCCTTCTTTCTCCTTTGGTGTGATCTTTGTGATTTAATCTCATTAGTATTTGAAGTGGAGAGACACCCCACTTTATAAAACAACTGTTTTATAAGGCAGTTGTTTATGCAGACTTTTTTCTGTTATGGAAATGAATAGCTATATAACAAAGAAATGCCCACCCATAGTCTCACCATCAAGGACAACCTCTCAGCACTTCTGGATATTTCTGCTGTATTTTCCTATGCATTTCCATGGTTTTCTTGTTTTCCATTTTACTTTATAATTTAATTTTTAAAAATACTGATACCTAAAGGTTTTCACTTTTTTATTACTAATGCCATGTAAAGGTTATTTTGATTCACAGTACTCAGTGCTACATCATTTTTAAGAATCTATGCCTTACTACTATGGATTAAGAATTAGAAAAGTCAATTAGCAGTAGTAGCATGAAGTGAATGACTAATAGTGAAAATGTTTTGATGCCAAAATGTCAACTAACCCAGTAATGGACAACCATATCTGGGCAGTTTTAGGATGACATTTTATGTGTATTTAGGAACAACAATTAACAAATAATTTATGTGTGTGTAGAAGTAACAGTTATTTGGCAATTGTTTTTACCTACCAGTATATTAAAGATTTTTATCATTGTCTTTAAAAGTATGGTGGAGAAAACTCCTTAATATATTCCTGAAGACTTAAAACAAATTTTAAAATATCATAGTTTTTTAAATGCTGTGGGCATTTAAAAAATAATTTTAAAATTCATGATTATTACACAACACTGCTGGAAAGAAATACGAATTACAAAGAACCTTATTTGGCCTTGGTATGTGAAACCATAGGCAGTTGAAACCATAGACATAGACAGTGTACACTGTCTATGGTTTCACGTACTGAGGCCAAATAAGAGTGAAACTTTAATCAAGTTTTACTCTTGGCTTCTCCAATTTTAGAGTCACATACTTTTAGCCCAGAGGGAATCTATAATTCCTACGTGGTTGCACAGCTGAGTATTGTCAGTGTGAGAATTCAAGATGCCTGATATTTAATGGGCCACCATGACTCTGATGGGATTAAAATATTGTTCTTTGTTTCCTAGGAAATGACCAATCTGAGGACCTTGTGATAGGAAAACTTGTCACTTCAAAGTATTTCGTTATTCAAAATATATGTATATGTGTGTTATATTTTAGCTTTTAAAAAATATAATTAAGCTTACTACATTAAGTTATTACTAATCATGCCAAATACTCTAGTGTGTTTATCCTAGTGTGTTTACTTTAATAATAAAAGTCTAGCAAATCCCTATCATAAGATGTTTTGCTGGTCTGTATTTCAAGTCCTACCAAGTTTCAGATTTTAAGTCTGTCCGTTCTTGATTTGTAGAACATGAGGATTAATTTGCTGACCTTACCAGAAAGGCTTATGTTCTGTTCTTCCTTTATGGTGTTAGATGTTTACTTCTCTAAGCTATGGTCATCATTAAAAGAAGTGGCCTTCCCAACTTGTACAGAACCTCTCTTTAATCAAAGGCACAGGAATGCCAACCTTAGTCTTTCTCATCAAAGCAAAGAAATGAATTTCCTATTGTATTTCATGGACTACATGAAGCTTATTAAGGAAGTTATACTACGTATTGATTCACATAAAATATCCTAAATTTTCAACGTTTCAGTTAGTTATCTGCATGGGTATTTTTGGAATATACTGTTTCATACATGCTTTATACCTGAGCTGCATGTGATTGTCAATATGGAATTTAAAAGTTTATCATCTGTGAGATGAAATTACATTATGGTAAATTCTGGTAGAGTTCTTGTAATGGGTTTGTTTTAGATTTGTTAAAGAAGAAGAGTTTATATTGCTGCAGTATGTCTTAAGTTGGCACATGGGTATGTCCCCTGGGAGACCTCAGAGATAATATTGGTGGGTTGGTTGGGTTGAGGGAGTCATTAGCAAGTTTTAGTATTAAGATCATGGAAATCATACATTCACATGCAGCAACGCCAAGTTACTAGGTAACATGCCTAGTTCATGTTACCCAGAAGTTGTCAATTTTATGACTTGGATTTTTCATTTTTCAAAGTGAATTTGTTGTTGTTATGTCAATTTTAAAACTGGCTGATAGAAACAGGAATAATTTTAAATGAGATAAATTAGCTGTTAAAAGCAAGGAAATCTCTACCTAAAACATGAGGATTAGCTGGAAAAGAAGGGAGATATTTCCTTTAAATTTTTTTCTGGAACTTTAAAAATAGCTTCATGGAAGGATAATTAATATACAAAAAAAAAACTGCATACATTTTAAGTGTACAATTTTATGTTTTGACATATACACATCTGTCAAGATAATGAACATAAACCATTTCGCACATGAGTCTCCCCATGTGCCTGCTGAAGTCCATTTATGCCTCTTTTGATAACCATTTATCTGCTTTTCGTTATTCTACAGCAGTTTGTAGTTTCTAAAGTTTTATAAAGATGGAATTGTACGTATGAATGTTCTTCTTTGCCTTCTTTTACTCAGCATAATTACTTTGAGATTCATCCATGTTATTGCCCCCATTAATAGTTCATCTCTCAGCCAGCTATGGTGGCTCACACCTGTAATCTACCATTTTAGGAGGCCAAAACAGGAGCATTCTTGATACCAGGAGTCAGAGACCAGCCTCAGCAACATAGTGAAACTCCATCTCTAAAATAAAATATTAAAAAATTAAACAGGTGTGATGGTATATGTCTGCTGTAGTCTTGCAACTTGGGAGGCAGAGGTGGGAGGATCACTTAAGCTCAGGAGTTCAAGGTTGCAGTGAGCTGTGATCACATCATTGCACCCCATCCTGGGTAACAGAGCAAAACCCTGTCTGAAGGAAAAAAAAAGTCCTTTTTTTTTTTTTTGTACAGCAAAGCCCTATCACCATTGTAGACTAAAGACCTATTCTGAGCTGGGCTCACACCTGTAATACCAGCACTTTGGGAGGCTGAGGCGAGTGGATCACCTGAGGTCAGGAGTTCAAGACCAGCCAGACCAACATGGTGAAACCCCATCTCTGCTTAAAATACAAAAAATAGCCAGGCGTGGTGGTGTATGCCTATAATCCCATCTACTCTGGAGACTGAGGCAGAAGAATCACTTGAACCCAGGAGGTGGAGGTTGCAGTAAGCTGAAATCACTACATTGCACTACAATGTAGTGATAAAGTGAGACACTGACTCACTACAAAAAAAAAAAAAAAAAAGGAAAAAAACCTATTCTGTACAGTAAAGCTCTAACGTAAAATATTTTGCTGCTTTATGATTTTTGTTTTGCCAAAGTTACATCATATCTTCAACTCAATGATGTGTAGAAATGCCCAAATTTCTCTCTTTCTTGAATTTTTAATAGGAGGACATGCTGCTTGTGAAGAATCAAAACATTTCATTTAAACTCATGATGCCATACTATTAGCATCCAATTTATAATAATATTTCCTACTTTTTCTTCTGCTCTGAAACCTTATTCCTTTTTACTTATACTATAGATTAAAAAGACACCTGGTATATAACTAGGGTTTATGATGAAAAACGTTATTTCCCTGCTGTCATCTCTACTTCCAGCTCAGTGTCTGAAGAGAATTCATTGTCTCCCATTTCTCCTCTAAAACTGCCCATCTCATTTACTGACATCACTGTCTCCTTACTCTTGTCTTCAGATCTGATGTCTCCAGACTATTGACTTCCTTCAATGGTTTTTTCCTTTCTCCCTTCTCACAGGCACTGCCTTATTTAAAAGGCTTGCCTCTTGCCTCTTGCCTGTTTCCCATGCCAGTGGAGTTGCCTCCTAACTAATCTGCATGCCTCTGATTTCTCCTGTTTCTGGTCTTTCTTCCATACCGCTGCCGGTTTGCTTTCTACAACACAGTTCTAAATCATTTTTCTACTCTACTCAAAAGTTTGCTGGCCTTCCAAATAAATTCTAGATTCCTTAGGGTGATTTTTAAAACTCTTTTAGAACTGTCCCAAGCCTTTCCTATCTCATTTTCATTGATCTTCCGGTTCGTTATTGAAAATGATTATCCACTCATTCTCAAACTGACCATGTGCTTTTATACCTACACCTTTATGTACTTTGTTCTCTCTGTTTGAAATACCCTTTCTTCCTATCTCTACTTGTCAAAATCATTCAAGGTCCCACTTAAGTGCTACCTTTTCCTAGAATCTTTTCTGATGCCTCTTAGACTCTTTATCCATCCTGTACTCTCCTGCAGCAGTCTTTATTCCTGAGTGTTGGCACTTGCATTTCAGCCATTTGACTAGCTCTCTGTCCCACTGGACATCTTTAAAAGTTCAGTAAAGTCCTATCACAAAATGTTTTGTTGGTGTATGATTTTTGTTCTGCCAGGGTTAGATTGTATCACTAACTTAGTGATGCATGAGAATGACCTATTTCGCTGAGGGGGGTGGTGGTAGGAAATGTGACCTGGGGAATGAGGTCACTATTAGATGTATTACTTGAAGTGAATGAACAGTTACGCATATATTGACTGATCCCTTTGCCTTCTCTGACATGCTTAACAGTTATTCTAATGTTGACTGGCCAGAAGAGCTTCAGCCCATCTGAGACTCCCTACCCCTAAGCTGCTATATCATCCAGGATATATTTTAATGATGAAATTCATGGTGTTCCTTTAGAAAATGATCAGAAGACCATCAAGAGTACAAATGAGATATCATTGGTAGACCGAACACAAAAAAGAAAACATAGAGAAGCATGGGCAGGCCAGTGCTTACTGAACAAGTGCCAGATAGAATCCATATTAATTTGTCACGGTGTTTTTTTATTGTGTGTGGTTTTTCTCTGTTCCTAGAATTGTCCTTTTTTACCTACTAGCACCACAAAACTATATGTGTTACCACTTTGGTAAAGTGCATTGTGCTTTGCGCACTAAGATAAAAAGAAAAAAGTATAATGTAACAGATTTGGAAGAGTAACAAATGTCTATTTTCCCTAAATAAAAAATGTGCCAGTAGGACTGGCTGTTTTATAACTCTTTTCTTGTGGTAGTTAAGGAAATTGCTATACTATTGCAAATGATGAAAAATGCTGGCATTAATGCAAATAAAGACCTGAGAGATTCAAATAGCTATTAGAGGGTATTAAATGATTTAGTGGTGACCTAGATATTCTTAAATACATCAGGAATGAGAAAATTATTAGCGTTATCTGAAATTCATTTTCTTTAATATATTTATGTTACAGCTTATGTAAGTGAACTTGCTTATTTGCAAATTAACAAGTCTTTCTTTGGGAAGAAGGACTCTACTCGTGTTTACCACATCATTTAGACCCTTGAACACCAATTAAAGTGCCCTAGAACATTGCAGGCGGGCTATAAACATATAGTTATTCTGCTTAAAGCAAAGCAGAATAAACCAAACAAGACTCATTGAAAGAAAATTTTAAAACATTTACCCAATGAGAATTCTGCAGCTTTTACCATAGGGTCTTAGAAAATGTTGAAGGAGTATTGATTTATATTAGTGCTGAAATATGACCCATGTGTTACAAAGATCTGAATTAAAACTGTTAGATTTAATTCCTTTCATTAATTGTTTTTTATTTTTGAGTAAGTTCAGATTTACACAAGAGTTCCAAAGATAGTTCGGGCTTCCCATAAATCCTTCACCCAGTTTCCCCTGATGTTAACATCTTACACAAGTATTATACATTTGTTGAAACTAAGACATGTACATTGGTCATTCTATTAACTCCAAACTTCATTTGGCTTTCACCACTCTTCTGTTAATGTTCTTTTTATATTCCAGGATTCAATTCAGAATATTGTATTGTGTGCTTAGTCTCCTCTGGTCTGTAACAATTTCTTAGTCCTTTCCTGTTCTTCATAACCTTGATCACTTGGTTTGTAAGGTGGTGTCTTCTAGGTCTCTTCCCCGGAAAGTTACTTTCTTTCCTTTTCCATACTTTGTTCTCTGGAAGAATATAGTCACTAAGTCTATACTCAAGGGGAGGAGGGATTAAATTTTATCTCCTGGAGTAGGAATTATCCATATGTATTAATTTCTTTAATTTGGGGAAGTTGTAATGAAAGGTTAGATTTTTGTGTTGTTATTTTTGTTGTTGTTATTGTGGTTAATACATCCCCTTTCTTCTAGTAGGACTAGAATAACTAGTTTGAGACAACAATTGTTAGAATTCTATTAAAATTTCTTAATATACTAGTCATTTATCCTCTTTTTAAAAAATTGACATAATAATTTACATATTTATGGGGTACAATGTGATGTTTCCATACATGTATATATACATTGCGTAGTGATTAAATCAGGACATATTTATCACCTCATACGTTTATCATTTCTTTGTGATGAGAGCATTCAAACATCCTCTGTTCTAGTAATTTTGAAATATACACTGTAATATTGTTAACTATAGTCTCCCTACTGCGCAATAGAACACCAGAACTTATTTCTCCTATCTAACTATAATTTTGTACCCGTCGACCAATCTCTTGATGCTTATCTACCTAGGAACTTCTCCTCTGGAGTAGGAATAAAGAAACTTCCAGGAATGTTGAACTGTAGGGTCCTTAAAAGCAGTGCCTAGCTTTGCTTCTTGTGTCACTAGCACCTAGCCTAAAACCTGGCAAACTGAGATCATTAGAGACATCTTCATTTAATGCCAGAAACACATTCATTTAATACAGAAACACAAGAGTTATATCCAGTAAAGGCAAGAGGAAGGGAAGTGACATTTATTGGAACTTAACTATGTTGTCAGGAACAACATTATAATATTTTCTATTGACAACAGTCCTGTGAGGTAACTATAATCTGTTTTCAACAAGAGGAAAACTAAAGCAATTGATCATTCTTAGGAAAGTTAAAATCAGAACAAAATTTGAACTCAGCTCTTCATAATTTTTCAGTTCATTTGCTTTTCAGTATAAGTTGCCCTTCTGGGTGGGGTCTCAATGTACATTTCCCTGTCTCTACCTCTTTATCTTCCTTTTAGCTTCTTCCTCTTTTTTAAAACTGTCTTTCTTAAAATGATGTATTTTACATTAAAATTACCTTATATTACATTTTTACATTTAAAATACATTAAAAGGATATCTTTTAAGTGATGTATTTTTAAAAAATCTAGACATTAAGAGAATAGATCCCACATATTGCTAGTGATAATAGGAATTAGTATACTTTTTTGGGTAAAGACCTGTATATACACACATGTGTATATGGAAGGTTCCTATAACTTTGTGGTGGAAAAACAAGAACTGAACACAAAGCTTATCAGTAGGTGGATGACCAAATGTCCTATATCCTTGATATGGAAATCACGCAGCCACTGGTGATTTCTAAGCTGTATTGTTAAGGGAGAAATTATAAAGTTAAGTATATACCTTTATATATACTTTATATATAGGTGCATATGTAATAATTCCATTTTTTCAAAACAGCGACAGAATAACCCTATATATGTTTTTATATGATTATAAAAGCATAGATTTTTAACAGTGTTTATGTGAGAGAGATAGTAAGAGAAAATGACTTGTATTAAGATTGTGTTCCCATTTATTACAGTGAGTCTGCACATGCACAAAAGGACGCATGAAAGTACAGTCCCCAACTGGAAATCTACAATATTAATCCCTCCCTCTCATCTCCTCACCTAATCAGTCTCAAAGTTCTGGTAGATTTTCAAGAGTTTCTCAAATGTTTTTTCTACTTCCCATCTATTCTACTATTGCTTTATTTTCATTTTTGCCTCAACTACTGAAACAGTCCCCTAACTAGTCATCCTGCCTTGAGTCTGGTCCACCTCAAATCCACCAACCATTTGCTTGACAAAGTAGATCTATCCAGGGATATTTAACATATAAACTCTCTACTTAAAACTTTTTGTTGATGCCTTCCTACCTGAACTACAAAAGCCAAACCTGTTAGGGTGATCTTAAAAGCCTGGCAAAACTAGGCTTCACCACTTCTGTCATTCCCCACCTTTCACATTTGCTCTGGCAACTGCAGACTGCCAGTAGTTCTCCATGTAGGCTGTAGGGACTATCCTCAGGTCTCTGCTTATGCTGTTACTCCTGTTTGAAATCCTCTTCACGGCTTTCCTTTCAGCTCCCCATCTCTTTTCCTCCCCGATTTATCCTTTAAAACTGATTTCTGGGGTCTCCCTGATCTCCCTTCAACCTCCAGCTAGGCTAAGCTGGGTTACTCTCTTGTATGCCTCTATCTTATACTTACCCTGTGTATTGTCACAAATTATTTCTCACTTTCTCTTTACTAAGCAAGGGCAGGAACTGACATTCTCATCATTATAATTCTGCTACTTACTACAGTTCCTGGTGCTGTTCAGTTGCTCCACAATTGAATGCCAAGATGCTATCCCCCTTGGCCCCCACCTGCATGGATCTTTGAATCATAACCAAAAGTGATTTCACATTCAAATTTTAGGGATTGAAATGAATCATCTTCATATTTAGCAAGTGAAAAAAATATTCTTTTTACGTGTCTCTAATACAAATAACTTACCAGATTAAAAGGGTGAGATAATAAGGCTTTATTCATTGTTTAAATTGATAGATATATTAAATTGATGTATATTTTGGTAAGAAATTAATGTGCAATCATGGTATTTACACTCTAGCAATTAAAACTAAAGTAGCTTTGTAATCTAAATGACTATGGTGGGGACATAGTTATTTACATTCTCAAGAGTAGAACTGCAGAGTTATTTATTGATTCTGTGGGTACAGATAGGTATGGTTGAAATAAGCAATATTTGGTTAATAATCTGTATAATAAGTAATGGTTAGTACCTATGATGATACCATATACTGGGAGCCAACAAGTCCCAAAGAAATGTTAGTTTTGATGTTTTGAGCTTGTTAGGCCTTTTAAAAAATGTTTCATATATAGTTGAAAATTCTGTATTAATGACCAGCCACAGACCAGGGCAGTAGTTAGTTTGAGTTGAGTAATAGAATAGTATATTCTGGGGGATAATTTTCAAAGTATTTTGAAAGAGACATTTAACTTTTAAGTTAAAAGAACTGGAGTTGCTAATAAACAGTGCAGAAAATAGAAATGTCTTCTGATTTAATGATTACAACACAAATTAGACTCTTTCAGGCCAGGATATTACAGCTCATGTTTCTGGAAAGACTCTACATGTTCATTTTTCTACTATGAGTAGTTTCACTTTAAAGAATAACAGTTTAAAAGGTAAACTGTTCATAATATTGAACAGGGTAGAGTTTAGATTTGTTACCATGAGTATTTTTGCTTCTTAATGCTATTTCAACTATTTTAATAGCAGTAATTTTTGTTTTTTTCCAGCAGCATACTTCCCAGTCAAAAATATTTTTTATAATCACATGATGAATTATATAATATATGCTTTGGGTTTCCTACTATAATTTTTCATAAAAAGGAGTTTTATGGAAATTATAGATTGTAAAGTGATCATTACTATATTAGCTGTGATTATAAACTGTTTTCAGGACAGATTTTAGTTCCTGGTGAAGTGAATGTTTCGTTTTGAAAACTTATGTAAAAGCCTGTTAAAGCTGGTAGGCTTTAGCTTTCATTTTAACCTGACAGCCATCCTAAATGATATGCAAATAATGTATTTTCATGTACAGTTTCCAATTGGCATGCTTCTGTGGGTATAATTGCATAATCAACTGCTAATGCAAATTATCACTCAGTGAAATTGTTTAAGCAATAACCACACAGTGATTGAATTAATTTTTTGCAACTCACAGATTCTATAAGGGGACCATTTCTTTTTTCATTGGTTTTCCTTTCCATTGCTATGCCTTTTTTATTCCTTCTCCTCCAACTCTCATTCTTCAAAGCTCTACAGAAAAAGTATCCTATAGGAAATAATGTTGAGGCCCTCAATAAATTAGAAATAGGAAGGATAATTTGAAATAATAAAGAAGTTTCGCCCTTTCCCATCCCTGCTCCGCAGCCCCTACCCTCACCCCCATGCCAGGATAACATACCTATTTTTTTTATATTGGGCTGCTATTATCTTTTCTCTCTTTTGTAGTGATCTTGAGCCTGAATGGCTGGACAGTGTGCAGAAAAATGGAGAGCTGTTTTATTTGGAACTGAGTGAGGATGAAGAAGAAAGCCTCCTTCCTGAGACACCAACTGTGAACCATGTGAGGTTCAGTGAAAATGAGATTGTCATTGAAGATGATTACAAAGAAAGAAAAAAGTACGAACCCAAACTTAAGCGGTTTACCAAAATTTTAAGAAGAAAAAAACTTTTACCCAAGCGCTGCAAGAAAAAAAATAGCAATGATAATGGACCCGTATCCATTCTAAAGCATCAGTCCAATCAGAAGACAGGAGTCATTGTCCAACAGCGGTACAAAGATGTGAATGTTTATGTAAACCCCAAAAAGCTAACTGTCTTCAAAGCCAAAGAACAGCTCAAGCTTCTAGAAGTGCTGGTTGGAATTATTCATCAGACCAAGTGGAGCTGGAGAAGAACTGGAAAGCAGGGTGATGGAGAGAGGCTTGTAGTCCATGGCCTGCTGCCAGGGGGATCTGCTATGAAGAGTGGTCAGGTACTCATTGGTAAGTGTTGCTGGTACACGTTCATCGTTGTTTACAGAGATACATGATTAATGATGACACCTTGCAGGAAATGTGACAAAAAACTATTATATACAGTCTCCTCAGATTAAGAACTGATTAATAACATTTGGTTCAATAATGAAATGGTTATGAATGGTGCACTAGAAGGCACAGTATTCTTAAAATAGCCAGTTCAGTGTGTTGAATACGTGTGTGCCTTCTTCAGGCCAAGAATTCGCTTACCTAATTTTCAAGTTTTGAATTATGTAATTTTATTTCATCTTGGTTATATTTGCTGACAAGAAAAAAACAGTAGATTGTAGAGTGATAATTTAGGTTTGAATGGCTATATCCAGTAACAGGATACAAAAATATATAATTTATGAATAAAAATACTTTTAAATTGTATGTTTGCACTTGAGTACACTAAGTTCTTGGAGTGGTTTTCAACTGTTTCATTTGGCATATTTAGCAACAGTGGTGTTATACACAAATTTCCTTTTAAGGGCATGTGTCATAAAATAGCCTGCCAATTTTCAAGAAAAATAAATCCACAAGTTATCCTGAATATATATTAAGATGAGTATTTTGTGTTGCTGATTAGTTTTAAGCTGTTAGATACAATGTTTAAGTAGCAGTCTTATTACTTAAAGATAAATGAGTCAAATGTGAGGTTATATTATTACTAAAATTTAGAAGTAATAACAGTTCTAAAAACTGACAGTCTTTTAAGTTTACTTATAAGAGATTTAGATGAAGAACATTTGCAGATACATTTACAGATATTCCCAGCTTTAAATCTGACTTTCATTTGTTTGTTCACTGATTTGACGGTTTGTTTTTTTAGCATCTGCTAAGTGCCAGGAATACAAAGATTACTTTACTGATCCAATTATTTCTTGTAAGGAGCTATGTTTTAGTGGAAGAGATGGGTCACGAAGGCAGGCAGTTTCTCACTGTGTGATAAGTGCCATCATAGGGGTTTACAAGGAGAGTCATATGGAATCTTTTAGGAAGGGCATCTGTGGCAAAGTATGTGTTCCAGAATGGTTTCAACAGGATCTGCATATGTTCTTAAAATGTAATGTTGATACTCCTCCCATGGAGAGTTGTACTCTGTGTCATTGAATCTGGGTGGGCCAGTGACTACAGCTTTACGGGTGCCATGTGTCTCAAGAGGTTGGATCATAAAAGGTGTTGTAGCTTCTGCCTCGTTATTTTGGGGATGCTTCCTCTTGGAACCCAGTCACCATTGTGTGAAGAAGCCAGGACACTAGTAATCCAATTGATAGCCCCAGCGGAAGCCCTCACCACCAGATGTGAGTGAGAAGCCTTCAGGATGACTCCAGCCCCAACCACCATCTGGCTGTAACTGTGTGAGGAACCTCAAGTGAGAACCACAGCTGACCCCAGTTAATCCCAGAACCAGGGGAGATAATGAATGATTGTTGTTTTAAGCCTCAAAATGGTTTGTGTAGGCCTGGCATAGCAGTACACTTATAATCCTAGCACTTTAGGAGGCTGAGGTGGGGAGAGCACTTGAGGCCAGGAGTTCGAGACCAGCCTGGCCAACATGGTGAGACCCGGTGTCTACTAAAAAATACAAAAAATTAGCTGGACCTGGTGGTGCATCCCAGCTACTTGGGAGGCTGAGACACGAGAATCACTTGAACCTGGGAGGCAGAGGTTGCAATGAGCCAAGATTGCACCACTGCACTCAGCCTGGGGGACATAATGAGACTCTGTCAAAAAATAAAAAATTGTTTGGATGACTTGTTTTGCAGCAGTAGGTAATTGGAACAGGGGCTAATACATACTTACATTCCCTTGGGTCTTCAACTTTCCTTCTAATGAAATAATAGGATTGAACTAAATATCTCTAAGGTTTGTTCTTTTAGTTCTATAAAAGGATCCAGAATTCATTTAACATGCTCCCCTTTCAGTGGTATTTCCTGTAAGTTGGTAGTTAGATATTGAGGCCTCATCAAGTGTATTTTATAGGTGGTCTGTGTACTTCCATCAGAAGCAACATATTATCTGTTGTTTTTCTTTGTGTGATAGTAACAGCTATTGATAACCATTGCCTAGACCCATCAGTTCATTAAGGGACTGCAAAATGGTGATATTCCAATTCTGTCAGTCTTTCTTGATGCTTCAGTTAGACTATTTTCATAAAAAGAAGCTCCCCTTCACCTCTGTTTGGTAACCTTGACACATGGTTCAGACAGGAAAGGCAGGATAAATATCTGATTTTTCTTCATTTAACAGTTTTCACAAAAAATGGGTTGATAGCATTATTCAAGGACTTCTGGAATGGTAGATTGGGAGGAACCTTAATTCTCTCTAGTTTAGTGCCCACATACTATAAATGAGGGATTGAGATAGAAACTCAAAAAAATCATAACAAAATTTATTGTTAGTAAGTGCATTGGCAGAAAATATTGAGTTTTGAATGTGTAAAATGGGAATATAGTAACTTTGTCAAGTAATATAGTAACTATATAGAAATATAGTAACTTTGCCAAAAACCAGATTCCCTTTCCCTGAAGTCAAATTTGGCTTAAAGGATCAATTTAAATTCTCAGTCTGATTTCATTCTTCTGTCCCATACGTGTTTCCCATTTCTTCTGTCCATAAATCCCTGCCTCTAACAAACAAGGCTGATTTATTTTTTTCCTAACTGACCTCCAGATGCACTTTGTATGTCCATCTTTGTTCTTTAGCATTTACAGTTCCTTTTTTGGTGCATCACAAATATTTCTTAGTGTTATTAAGCTAGTGCATTCAACTTCTATTGCTGCTGGGACAGATTACCACAAACTTAGTGATTTAAAAAAATACAAATTTATCATCTTGCAATAATGTAAGCCGGAAGTCTAAAATATTTCTTTATGAAAATCAAGGTGTCCACAAGACTACCTCCTTTTGGAGACTCCTGGGAAGAGTCACATGATTCTTTGGCTTGTGGTCCTGTCCTCCATCATCAAAGCCAGCAGCGTAGCATCTTCCAGTCTCTCTTATGCTGACCCTGACACTTCTGCCTTCCTCTTATAAAGACCTTTATTATAATCTCAGGACCACTCAGATAATCCTGGATAATCTTCCAGTCTTTTAAGTTAATTACCCCTGCAAAGTCCTTTTTGCTGTGTAAGGTAGCATATTCACAGATATCAGGGATTGATACATAGACATCTTTGGAGGGCAATTACCACGGTTGGGCGTTTTTTGGTAAAATATGAATTTTTTTTCTTTTTACAATAGTAACAATATATGTTAATTGTAGGAGATTTAGAAAATATAATTAAGCAAAAAAGAAAAATTCCATATACCCAAAGACAACATTTTGATATATAGCCTTCCTTTTTCCTACATTTGTGTACAATAATTTTGTTTTGAAAATAATTTCTTAAGTCATGTATTCATTTTATATATAGTATAAACACAGCAGTAAACCAACTTTTGCATATATATCTTCATAGCCCTTGGTGCCTTATGTAGTAGCCCTTTAGTACACATATGTTGTTTGACGTTAAGTATATACTGAGAAATTGATGGTTTTTCTCACATAATTAACTTCATGTTGAAGAACTGTGATAAACTAATCTCTTTTTAAAAATATTTTGTTTGTTTCTTAAATATATCTCTTAATAAAAATTTTATTTCTACCTATCAATAATTCCCAGGCCATTTCTTATTAAACAATGCAAACCAATCATATAGTTAATTTCCTTTCAGCCTTTGAAATGGTACAGAGCATATTAGTGACTCCCATGTACTTATTGAGAAAGACCTTTCCTGCAGTGTAGGATGTCCACTGCAAAGGTGTGATGTCCAGGAAGCCGGCCATCTCTGAGTCACTTCAGAGAAGTGCTCAGAAACACTAGAGGAAAACAAATGTCTGGGAGAATGAGAAGTGTGTACAAATACAGCTTTTCTAGAACAGGAACATTTCTCTACTGAACATTTAAAAATATTAGATATACTATCCTTGATTTTAAAATTGATTTTTATATATTTTTTGTGATGAGACATCTCCTCTTTTTAGAGGTTTGTTAGGTTTGTTAGACTTAATACTTTTAGATGATACTCGCTATAACACTCAACTACAGAAATGTATTCATTAGGATTTGGAGAAAAAGTCATTTGGGACATCATCCAATGGAGTTTTAGTTTAAAGTAACAAATTTAAAATGGTTTTAGTATTTCTGTGCCCTGAGAATAAACTATAGACAATAGAACTAATCATTAGGGTAGTCTAAAAGTGGCTTTATTTTACATTGCCACAGCTATACAGTGTTCATCATTCCTTTATTTTTTTTTTTTTAAATCACTACAGCTCTAAGAAATTTGATAAAATACTCTTGTTTAATCTCTTATATAGGAGAAATTAAACAGGCATATTGTTGTGGGTTTTTTTATTTTTTTCCCGAGTAGACTTGAAGTTGAAAGTTTTAGTCTGCAAGTTCTTACTTTTAGGGAAAGTTTACCCAAAGTGCTGTAATAGTTAACCATCATAATGACTTGGTGCCCGTGCTTGCAAAACTCTCATCTGAATTGTATCTCTTGAGCATCTAAACCTAGTTCAAGTCTTCACAGATGGTCTAAGAAACTACTGCTCACTCTGTACTTAACCCCTTTCCCATATAATAGAGTATCCAGGAGAGGAAGGAAAAATGGAGGAATAGCAGTACCTAAAGTGTCAAACCTTTCGTCTGTTTGCCAACCCTGAAGATGGCCAAGTGATGCCCAATAATGGTTTGCCTTAAAGGAAAGGAACTCTGAACTTAGGGAACACCAATCTTTTATAAAGAAAAGTTGTTAATAATAAGATACTAAGCACAGCATTGACCTTATTATACCATTCAGTAAACAAGCTTGACCTTCACTCAGGATGGAAACACTGTCTGTGTTGTCCAAGGCTGTTCATTATATGAACATCTTTGAAAAGACAGTCTAGAACAAAGTCTTTCAGTGCCTCAGCTTATAAGATGTACAGAAACATTAGACCCATGAAGAATTGTCTACCAACATGATTCTATATATACAGGTTGAGTACTTCTTATTCAAAATACTTGGGACCAAAAGTGTTTCAGATTTTTTTTTTTTTTTTTGGAATATTGCATTCTACATACCTCTTGAGCATCCCAAATCTGACAATCCCAAATCCAAAATGCTCCAATAAGCATTTCACTTCCTTTGAGGGTCAGGTTGGTGCTCAAAAAGTTTTGGATTTTGGAGCATTTTGGATTTTGCATCTTTGGATTTGGGATGCTCAACTTGTATATATTTATTATCCATCTTCCACAAAGAATATTAAGCTCCCTGAGGGTAGAGATTTTGTCCTTGTTTAATTCTTTGTCTCTAGTGCTTAGAACAGTGCCTGGTACACAGTAAGTGCTCAGTAAATATTTGTTAAATGAATGGATGAATATGAATTATTTCATCAATTTCCTAATAACATATTTAGAAATGATGAGAAAAATAACTTTGGTATGTCTATATTTCTATTAATATAGCTCACTGGTATTTTGATAGTATCTTTAATTATGTTCTGAAAGTAAATTTCCATCTTAACACTGATCTTTATTTTATTATCAGATTTGGCAAACATAACATATTTTTTTAAGTGCATGGAAAGGAGATTTTTACCAAACGTGCAGTGTATTTTGATATGGTTGGGGCCTTTGAAGCAAAGAACTGTGTGTAGACATAGAGCAGTAACAGAAGTGAATACCATAGCATATTGTGTTACGATGTGCCACATGGATTTCATTTGAATTTCAGCTGGTTTTTTTTTGTTTTGTTTTGTTTTCTGTTTTGTATTGTTTACTGTGGGTCTAAGTGGTTAGATTCAATTTTGTCAAGCACAGTATTTGGTTCATGCTACAAATTTTCCTTTTGTCCTTTGGGTTTACATAATTCTCCCAATTGTATCAAGAATGAAAATATTCATCTTTTAAAATATTCATAAGTTGTATTTAGTTATGGTGCAATGTTGCAGTATTATAGATTAAGAAGAGTAAAGTTAGATTAGGCCTGCCACCACTGAGCTGTATAAACTTGGACAAGTTACTGCTTGTCTGTACCGTATTTCTCATTGTACTTTGAGAAGGTCAGAGTAGCTGTTTAATGTTCCAATTCTAGACCTCTGTGGTTTTTGGATATTCATACAACTATCTTTTTATTGTTATTCTGGATTCAGGTGATGTCCTTGTTGCTGTGAATGATGTTGATGTTACTTCTGAAAACATAGAGAGAGTTCTGTCTTGCATTCCTGGACCTATGCAGGTATGGACATTTTTTTTCTGTATTTTACAATGTTACATAAAATAAATACATCCTGTACTATTTTCTTTTTTAAGCTACTGAAAAGTATCATGTATAATGGATGAGTTACATTGATACTTGGCTATTTAAGAAAATTTAGCTCTTGCTAATATTATTAGCTTTTGGAGATTATTCTAAAAAGAGAAAAATATCTACAAATAAAACTTATCCTACATAAAGCAGTAACACTAATGAAGCAGCCACAGTAATGAAAACATATATAATTACAAACTTGCCATTATAACTACCATATATGCTTGTGACATTCTAGTTCCTAGAAGAGTCATTTTAAATAGTCATGGAGTTTTCTGTTCTCTGACTTATTAAGATCACTATTGCTATAAAGTTTTTTTTTTCCAGTGAGATTTTATTTTAAAAACTATATGTTTCTTGATATTTTTTAAAATTTAATTAAGCTTTTCTTCTGGACTTTTGTTTGGCTACTTAATGAATTATTTTTCAATCCTTTTATATAAAAATAAATTTATTTCATAAAAAGCCATTTTTGATACCTGAACACTGACACTGTGTATCATAGGTGACATTTTTCAGTTATTAGGTATATTTTGCAAATGCTGTACCTTTTTCTTATGAATCTTCTGTTCCAGATAGCATCAGGAATTAGCGTTCTCCTTTTGGGAGGATAGGGAAGATGATATGCTTTATATGAGTTAGAGCAGGGGTCCCCAAACCCTGGGCCATGGAGTGGTAGTGGTTTGTGGCCTGTTAGGAACTGGGCTCCACAACAGGAGGTGAGCAGTGGGCAACAAGCAACGCTTCATCTGTATTTACAGCCGCACCCCATCGTTCACATTAGTGTCTGAGCCCCACCTCCTGTCAGATTAGTGGTGGCATTAGATTCTCCTAAAAGCATGAACCCTATTGTGACCTGTGCATGCAAAGAAGGGATCTAGGTTGCATGCTCCTTACGAGAATCTAATGCCTGACGATTTGCCACTGTCTCCCATCACCTCCAGATGGGGCCATCTAGTTACAGGAAAACAAACCCAGGCTTCCCACTGATTCTACCTTACAGTGAGTTGTATAATTATTTCATTATATAATACAATGTATTATAATAATAATAGAACCAAAGTGCACAATAAATGTAGTATGCTTGAATCATCCCAAAACCATCCCCCACATCCTGGTCTGTGGAAGAATTGTCTTGCATGAAACCAGGCCCTGGTGCCAAAAATGCTGGACACTGTTGGGTTAGAGGACCCATCAGGCAGTGAGAGGATGAAGACATTTTTGGATTGGTCAGAATCCCTGATAAATCAGAATCTTAGCTGCATCTGATTTGAGATTCTGAAATAATAAGGCACATGATGAAATTCTTCATTTTCTAGGAAGCAAGATTTCCCTAATGCCCATTTCTTTCTTTTAAACATACTTTGTATGCACGTGTATGTGTGAGCATGCAGGCATGCCCACGCGTGCACACACACACACACACACATACACAGATGTTCTGTAAATTTAGCTGTCCTTGGAAATGTAAAATGAAAGTGCTGGGATAACTATGGCAGCTGAGACCAGCAATGCCTAGGAATGGATAGGAAGATGGAGATGGAGATGGAGGTGGAGATGGGGTGGTGTTTGAAATAGTAACAATCAGGTGGACATCAGCCAGCCATGATGCTGTAGGTTGTGCTGTTATCCACTTTAATCACTAGATGTGGAGAGATCTAAGGGAGGGTACTGGGGTACTTCAGGGTGCTCAGAAAGCAGCTACTTATCGATCAATAGTGAAGAATTGCAGTATTTTAATGATTCAGCTTCCTCCAAGTTGAGTGGCTATGTATTATCGCAAAGTGAGGGATCCCTTTTTCTTGCCTATGTTGGTTACAGGTGTGCTTCCAGTATTGCCAGAGTTCAATCATGTCTATTCTGTCATCAAAAAAATGAAAAGTTATGTGTACAGTGGAATCACATTATGCTTACATTTAATTAGCTTTTGCAAATTCAGCTGTGCATGCTTAGCAGAAGAAAAAAGGGGGGAAGGAAATAAGGATTTAAACATTTTAGACCAGTTCTGTCCATAATTAACCTGTCCTCGTTAAACACACAAGAGGAGTCAGGTGTCTGCTATTTGCCCAGTTTGCGTGTACACCATGAGCATCTTGCTGCATTAAGTACAGTTCTGAATTTAAAGATATATTTTTTAATACAATGTGACTCTTAAGTTCCAGTTCTTACATCTGGTGCCTGAAGAAATAGTTTGTCTGGAAGATGGAAAAACCTGACTATGTGAATTAGATTTATCATACCGAGAAACTATGTTGTACTTCAACACAGCAGTGTCTTCCTAATGTAATTTCAAAGGGATTTTGACTGTCTATAACTTTAGAATATAATCTCTTTATAAATGTATACTATTAAAATCTTTGTGTTATTTTAGAAAAATAGGTGTAACTCTTTTTGTTATCACAAAAGAAAATACTTGTTCATTGTAGCAATTTTGAAAAATAGGCCAGGCATGGTGGTTCACCTCTGTATCCCTAGTATTTAGGAAGGCCAAGGCAGGAGGATTGCTTAAGCCTAGGAGGTTGAGTCTGCCATGAGTCACGATTGCCACTGCACAGCAGCATGGGTGACAGAGTGAGACTCTGTCTCTTAAAAAGAATACAAAGAAATTTTGGAAAAGAGAAAAAAGTAAGGGACAAAATCTCTTAGACTTTCATACCTGAAGAGACTATTAACATTTTTGCATATATCACGCATTCTTATTCTGTCCCCTCCCCGCTTCACCCCCATGTCTAGTATGAGTGTAAACATGCTTGCATTTGTGTGTTTGTTTGTTTTACTAGCAGAATTGGTATTATAGCTATGTTTTTCTCAAAAGCAAGAACTGCATTTAAGGCAATATATTTTTAATAACTGTATAAAAGATGGTTAAAATTCCTTTAACTAGAAACCATATTTAATTAGTAAACACATTTTTCTTACTTTGTTCATGTTGAAAGGGGGTGTAAACTATAAGCTTTTCACTACCAGCCATTTCCCTGAGGCTGTGTACACTAGGAGTTCAGGGAGGCAGGAATAGGACTGGGAAGGGAACTCTAGTGCTGCGTGTAGCAGACACTCTGTTGGGTGCTTTGCTTCTGTTGTTCCTTTAAGAATTTCATCTATTCCTCATAACAACCTGTAAGATTCCAATAATTAGTACTATTTTATACATGAAGGAAAAGAATCTAAGAGAGGTTTAATGATTTTCCTAGTGTTACAGAACTAATTACTCAATGAACTGGAACCTGTATTGACTCTAGAGCATGAACTTTGCATTTCACACACAGCCTTGTGGAGCTTGGTGTCTGCATCCCTTTGTTCTTGCTGGGCCAGAACGAATGAGATGGGTCTGTCCCAGAAAAAGTTGTTTGACCTGGTTTATATCTGCGGCATTTGAAACAATTATTCAAGCAATTAGAGAAGAAAGCTGATCTGTAGAGAATGCCATAGGAGACTTTCACATTTAAATTTGGAACTATCTAACAGTAACATTTTAAATACATATTCAGATTATAAAATGGATCTGAAAGCCTCTTGTCATCCAATAGAACATGGCCCAGGAGATAGTGTAATGTGGCAGAAAGGTTACTGAGCAGAAGGAGGTCAGATCTCCATTTTAAACCTCACTCTGAGCAAGTTTCCAAATTCTTCTGGGTTTCAGTTTCCTCGTCTATAATCAGAAGGGATTTGAGAGGGTGATCGCTGAACCCAATCTCAACTTTACAATTATGTGTTTGCTTTTTAAGCCATTTCTGTAATAAATACATTCAGGATACCGGAATGAAATCTAGAGGTGAAGCCTTTATACAAATGAGTACAAAAAGCCAAAATCATTCCTTTTCAAGCCAAGTTTTAACATTTTCTAAAACAGGTGTCTTAAATTCATCAAAAATGTTAATATAATGAAAGCCAAAAAAGGGCTGGAGAACTGTTCTAGACTAAGCTAGACCAAATGACATACAACTAAATGTGGAGAATAATCCTTGATTGATGCTGGATTGCAGTGGGAAATGTCTATATTAGGACAACTGGGGAAATCTGGACTTGGACTCTATTAGACAAGAGTATTATATTTGATATTAAAATTCCTAAGTGTGATAATTACATGTTTTATGTAAGGCAGCAGTCCCCAACCTTTTTGGCACCAGAAACCAGTTTCATGGAAGACAGTTTTTCCCTAGACCACGAGTGCAGATGGTTTCAGGATGATTCAAGCATAGTACATTTATTGTGCACTTTATTTCTATTATTATGAAATCATTGTACAACTCACTGTAATATAGAATCAGTGGGAGCCCTGAGCTTGTTTTCCTGCAACTAGATGGTCTCATCTGGGGGTGACAGGAGACAGTGACAGATTATCATGCATTAGATTGTCATGATTACACAACCTGGATCCGCTGTGTGCACAGTTCACAATAGGTTTTGTGCTCCTGGGAGAATCTAATGTCACCACTGATCTGACCAGAGGTAGAGCTCAGGCGGTAATGTGAGTGATGGGGAGTGGCTGTAAATATGGATGAAGCTTCGCTTACTGGCCACTCCCCTCCTGCTATGCCACCTGGTTCCTAATGGTTCCTGTACCTGCCTGTGGCCTGGGGATTGGGGACCCCTGGTGTAAGACGATGCCCCTGTCCTTAGGAGATCCATGCTGAAGTACTTAGGGATGAAGTAGTAAAATATCTGCAAGTAGTTTTCAAACAGTTCAGCCAAAAAACTTAAAAAATACATCTAGAGAAGGGAGGAGTCTGGAAGGAAAGGAAAAGAAGACCAGAGAGAAGAGACAAAATGAAGCAAATGTGACAAGATGTTAATAGTGCCATTAGGTGTGGGATTATGGGCAATCATTGTACTCTTTCTTACAACTTTTCTGTAGGCTTAAAATTTCTAAAACAAAATGTGCAGATACCCATGTAATTGCTGACTTTTGCGACCTGATCTGTTGCTACAGCTCTGTGCTCTCATTTATTCAACAGGTACATAGATTCATGCATGTAGTACATTATCCCCTCCCCTGGCTTTATCTGGGAGCTTGGGTCCAAATTTTGCAGATAACCAAGACTGATTTCATTTAGCACTGGGCCATAGCTGGCTTTCCTAGAACTTTGGAGGAACGTAACTCTTTTTCTAGGAGAACAGCCTGAAGATTAGTAGTCTTGGACTCCTGTCTCAGGTAGTTGTCAGGCCTAAAGGAGGGGACAAAGGCTTCCTAAAGGAGATGATTCTTGAGTGGAATGTTTTAACTTTTATTATTTCCTTGTTACACAAAAATAATACATATACTGTAGAAAAATTAGAAAACAAACTAGTAAAATTTTAAAAATATTTGTAAATCTCTATTCTCAGAACCCAGAAGTAAGCATTTATATCAACATTTTAAAGTGGAGGACTTATATGACCAGATTTCCATTTTAGGACTGCATCACTCTGGATGAGGGAGACATATGCACGACTGGAGGTCAGGAAACAAGGTGACCAGGTTTGCAGTAGTCCAGAAGAGAGGTGATAAAGGCCAGAGCAAAGGTGTTCGACAGGGATGGAGGAGGCAGAGATTAGATTAAGATACAGAGGAAGGAGGGGGCGGGGCCGGGCCGGGCAGGGAGGCTCACACCTGTAATCCCAGCACTTTGGGAGGCTGAGGCGGGTGGATCACAAGGTCAGGAGTTCAAGACCACCCTAGCCAAGATGGTGAAATCCCGTCTGTACTAAAAATACAAAAATTAGCTGGGCATGGTGGTGGGCGCCTGTAATTCCCAGGTACTCAGGAGGCTGAGGCAGAGAATCACTTAAACCCGGGAAGTGGAGGTTGCAGTGAGCCGAGAATGCACCACTGCACTCCAGCTTAGGAGACAGAGTGAGACTCCGTCTCAAAAAAAAAGGATATAGAGGAAGGAAAGAGAACAGTACTTTTTACAGGAAAGAGACAGAATTCCAAGAAGTCTTCCAAGTTTTGTCTTGGGTCACTCAGTGAGGTGACCCAAGAAGAGAAGAGGATGGAGGAGAGATAATCTGCTAAGCGAGTCAGACTCGATTCCCTCAGAATTTTGACCAAGGAGCGTTGAAAGCATCTGCCAGCCGTTAGCCAACGGGGAAAGGATGAGACATGCAGAGAGCAGTGTAAATGATCGGGGAGACAGTGCAGGCTGAGGCGGAGGTGAGAGACTCATCGGCTTCTGGAGCTGCTTCAGATTCTGACAGCCTCCCCAGGTCCCATCTGTGAAGAGAATGGTAGCTAAAGGGGAGTCAGAGGATTTCTTTGTTTGGTAGATGATTTCTTTGTTTGGAAGAGATGTTGCTTTTTAAATAGGATGGGCCAAAGACTGAAGTAGAAAGAAAAGACAAAGTGACAAGACTTTGGAAGTGACAAGTCATAGAGAGCACAGCCTTGGGTCTAAGGAAAGGCTGGGTAAACTGCACAAAGAAGAGGGACACAGGACATGAAGGATCCTGAACCTTGTCCCTGGTTAAAGTCTGACTGAGTAATAAGAGAAAACCCTTCATATGAAGCTTCATATAAACTAACTGATGTTAGGTATCATTTAATAAAAGTTTTTCCCTAAAAAAACACATAATATCCCTAATATTTATGTATATCAACCCATTTTTTAAAATAGCACTTAACTATTAATTTGGTTATCTGTCTCACCCTTTACCATTTTATCAAGGCAACCAGATTTCCTTACATTTATAGCTACTTAACAGATCAGCTTTTAAAAACATCTTTTTAAAATATAATTTTCTTTGTATTATGTAGTCAACTTTACTTAAATCAGAAGAATGGTGGCTGAAATAGTTCCTTAAAGAATTTTAATGGATGGTTCTGCGGTGTGTGTTTTTGTTTGAGTTTTTGTCGTGGTGAGACAAAAAGGTCCTTGCACCACAGAAAAGAAATGACGTTGTTTGCCAAGCATAAGACTAGTTTTCAAGTATGTTGTTTTTCACCAAGCATAGCAAAGCAATCTTAAATTTTAGGTTGTTGCTGCTGCCTAAAGTAAAATAAGTGAATTTTTAAGTCTATTTTTAGTAGACTTAAAAATTCTCTTTTTTATTTTTGGTAGGTTGCACCCTATCTTTTGACCTTTCCACCCGTAGGAATCTCAGCTGGGAAAAATGCCTTCCCTGTTCTGAGATGCATTTCTTTTTTCTAAGGAACCACCTTCTTGTCACCACTGCTTATGCGAAACTCTCATAGACACCCAGCTTCATCCCTGTGACACCTGCTTTCCTAGGATGTGACTCATCTCATGCTCCCTCTGATCTGATTTCTCCCCTTTCATACCGCTCACACATCTCCACTCAGAGTTCTTCCTAAAGTCCAATGCCAGGGAACAATCTTCAGAGCTCCTGTCTGTCTGTTACAAAGTCTATACTCAGGAATTCCCCAAGGAGTTCTCACATTTCCAGAGCACACCGCCAAAGGCTCCCATATATTTTCTTTTGGATACTCCTAAATCCTCATTGTTAGATAAAGGAATTTGGGGTAGATACCCAGTAGTGGGATTGCTATATCTAGTAATAGATCTGCTTTTAGTTCTTTTAAAAGTCTTCATACTGTTTTCCATAGAGGTGGTACTAATTTGCATTCCCACCAGCAGAGCATAAGCATTCCTTTTTCACCATGTCTGCTCCATCTATTGTTTTTTGACATTTTAATAATATCCATTCTGGCTGAGGTAAGGTAGTACCTCATTTTGTTTTAACTTGCATTTTCCTGATGATTAGTCATGTTGAGCATTTTTTTTCTTATTTCATTTGTATATCTTCTTTTGAGAAATGTCTATTCAAGTCATTTGCCCACTTTTTAGTGGGATTACTTTTTTCTTACTGATTTGTTTGAGTTCTTTATACATTCTGAATATTAGTTTTTTGTCAGATGCATAGTTTGCAACTATTTTCTCCCATTTTGTAGGTTGTTTACTCTGTTGATTATTTCTTTTGCTGTGCAGAAGCTTTTTTAGTTTAATTGGGTCTCATTTATTTATTTTCATTTTTGTTACATTTGCTTTCAGAGTCTTAGTCATAAATTCTTTGCCTAGGCCAGTGTCCAGAGAGTAGATTTTCTTTTGGAATTGTTATCATTTCGGGTCTTATATTTAAGCCTTTAATCCATCTTAAGTTAATTTTGTATACAGTGAGAGATAGAGTTTCATTCTTCTATGTGTGGCTCTCCAATTTTGGTGCTTCTTTGAAATGAACGAGTTATCTTTGACCAACTGGCATCCAGACAAATATTTCCTTTTTCAAGGATAGGTAATTTTAATATTTCATCCCTAAGTACTTGGGCATGTATCTCCTAAAAATAAGGGCATCTTCTTATACCAGGAGTCCCCAACCCCAGGCCACAGATCAGTACCAGAACCGTTAGGTAATTGAGAAGTAGAGGCTACCTTTCCATACCTGTGGAAAATGGCCACATTCTGGACTCTTACCAATCTTGACATCAGGCCATAAAATTAAAACTGTCTTGATAAAATTGATAGATAATCTTCTTAGAGCCATGTTGGTCTAAGATCCAGCATGTTGACAGTGTTTACTCTCCTTGGCCTTTGTTTAAAGAACGAGAAAGAGTGCCTGAGATAAGGATATTTGAAATACCACCTTATTTGGAAGGATAGTTAACTTTGGTTGTGTGAAGTCACTCTTAATGCTGAATCTCTTCCTTCTATCTTCCCAGATGATCCGGCGCTGTCAGCATTCATATTGTGGTGTTATTCTTTTTGCACTATCAGATAATACTAATTTCTGGTTTTTGATGGCCTTTCTTATTTTTATAGTCAATAATTCAAACTGCAGTTATTATTTTTAATTAAATAAATTTTTATACAGAACATTATACATTCCTATTCAGTAAATATTTGTGGTAATATATATCAGACATTCTGCTAGGAGCTGGAGATACAAATATAAATAGAATACACAGGACCCGCCATCAGGAGCCCTCACTCTAGGATGATTTATACAAACTGTGCATACCTGGGTGTATGTGCACACATAGATCCTTCTTTATGAAAACTGCAGCTGATTTTCCCTTGTTGAAAAATCAACACATTGTTTTAATTTTTAAAGGTAAAACTGACATTTGAAAATGCATATGCTGTGAAAAAGGAGACATCCCAACCAAGACAGAAAAAGACACAGTCGAACACAAGTGATTTAATCAAGCTTCTCTGGGGAGAAGAGGTTGAAGGTATCCAGCAGAGTAGCCTAAACACTCCTCATATCATTATGTATCTCACACTACAGCTCAACTCAGAAACCTCCAAGGAAGAGGTGAGTGTCCTCAAAAGTGCAAAGGAAAAAGTAAGGACCTTTTATCGTATTCCCAGTGAATGGTGAGTATATTTGATTTAAGGAAAAGCAAAAATGAATTAACTGTTGTTCTTTAAAATTGTATATCTAATACTCTGTTACAGATATGACTATTTCATACTTCACGTTTTTAAAATGAAAAATTATTCAGTTATTTCAGTAGAAAAAAAAGAGGAAGGTATTGTTGCAATATCTTTTAACTTAGAAATAAGTTCTCTGTAGCTTTTTTTATATGTTTTATTGAAGTATTAATTGTACATAATAAAATTCAACAATTTTAAGGGTACAATTTGATGAGTGTTGACAAATATATTACAAACCACTATCACAATCATAATATGGGATATTTTTATCACCCCAAAAAATTTCTTCTGTGCCCTGTTACAATCAATCCTCTCCTGCTATTAATAGCTTTTAATGCAGGAAGATGTAGCATTAACTTTCTTATATAGGTTGTAGTTTTTATGTTTTACGTATTTTTTATTCACTTTTGAATGTTTATTGAACAACTGCTTTTTGTCTAGCATAGTATCAGATATTGGTTATTTTTATTTGCGGGTAAAGGAAATAATTCTAGTAAAGATAAGTAAAATGTTTAAGTTCACATGGCTAGTAACTGACAGAATTTCTATTTAAGCTGAAATATTTTGCTTTCCAAATTCTGTGCCCTTTCTTTCAACATCAGTGTTTTGAGGCTGTTAATTGTTTTGTTCAGTTTTATCTTTTATTAATTTCTTGTCTGCTTTTTCTATTCATAATTAAGAAAAACATAAAATCACCCCCTCTGATGGGGATTTGTCCACTTTTCCCTCCCTTTCTAAATATTTTTGCTTTATTTATTTTGAAATAATTAATGTTTAGAATTATTAAATCTTCCCAGAGAACTGAACTTTTTGACATCATGATATGATCCTCTCTACCCTAGTTTGTTTCTGTCTTAAAGTCCTTTTTTAACATTAACATTTTAAAAATAATATTTAATATCATAGAGCTTTATTTTATAAGTATTTGAATTTTTTTTTCTTTTTTTTCTCAGTTCATGTCTTTACGTATTTGACATGTCTTTTACACACAGCTTATTTCCAATCTGGCAATCTCTCTCTTCTAACAGACAAACTCAGTAAGTCTATTTATAGAGATTACTGACATATTTGAATTCATTTCTGCTACCTTCTTTAAAAATTTCTATTGCAACAGCTTTTTCTGTGATATTTCCTTACCTGTTTTTGGTTGCTTGTGTCATTATTCTTGCTATATGCTCTTTCTATTTTTAAAATGATTACACTTAAAATTTTATCATGATATTTGTCTTTACAGATTCTAAACACTATTTTAACCCCTTTTCAAATAATTCAAAACTCTTAATATACCTAGCTTCAGTTACCCTTCTCTTTATTTATGTGCTATTGTTATCAGTATTTTAGTGCTATCTCTTTTCTCCATCATTCACAGTTACACTACTAGTACTTATTATTATTATTACATTTTATACACCACAAAATTTATAAATTAAGACCGGGCACAGTGGCTCACGCCTGTAATCCCAGCACTTTGGGAGGCTGAGGCAGGCAGGTCACAAGGTCAGGAGATCGAGACCGGACCATCTTTGTCAACATGGTGAAACCTCGTCTCTACTAAAAATACAAAAATTAGTTGGGTATGGTGGTGGACACCTATAGTCCCAGCTACTTGGGAAGCTGAGGCAGAAGAATCACTTGAACCTTGGAGGCAGAGGTTGCAGTGAGCCGAGATTGGGCCACCATACTCCAGCCTGGCAACAGAGCAAGACTCTGTCTCAAAAAAAAAAAATTATACATTAAGTATATTGTATACCATATATAAATTATATATTATAAAATGTATAAATATATATATTACATATATTTATGTTTGTTTTTATATAAATATATATTTCATACTGCTGTACCTAGTTTAAATTTACAATTATGCCTCATATTTTCTTTACACATCATTCTTTCTTACATCTGAAATATTGGATCATTATTTTCTTCTTAAAACATGTATTCTAAACATTTCTTTAGTGAAAGTGTGATCAGTTCTTTTTGTTGTTATTTATCTGATGATGTTTTCTTTTACTTCTTCTTGAAAGGTAGCTTGATAATTCTAGATTGTATTCATTTGGGTAGGCTAATTGCTATAACAAACAACCCTAATGTCTCAGTGGCTTCACATGATGAAAGTTTAGTTCTCATTTCATTTAAACATTCCTGGTCTTGTGACTCAGTGACTCCAGCCATTCTTCTAGTGTTCTCATTATCCCGAAGGACTTGGGAGTCCTCTGTTAGATCTTTTGCATCTAACTGGCCAATGAGAGAAGAGAGAAGGCAGGCAGTATCACATGGGACATTTTGGAGACCTGACTTGAAAGAAGTAACATCATTTTTGCTCATGTTCCATTGGGTAGGATTAGTTACATGGTCTAGCCATATGCAAGGAAGTAAGAAATGTAGCCTTCCTGTGTGGCCAGGAAGAAGATCAAGTGAATACATGGGATTGCTTGTGCCACCTATGTAGATAGTTATTTTCTCTAATCTATTTGAAGATGGTATCCCTTTGCTTTTGACCTCCATTATTGCTATTAAGAAGTCTACTGTCAGTCTGTCATTCCTTTGTAAGGAATGTGCCTTTTCTTGTGTTGGTTCAGCTTTTTGCTTCTTCTATGCCCAAACTGTTGTTTAATCTATCCATTGTGTTTTCTATTTAAACAATTATATATTTATTTTTAGAAGTTTCTGAAAAGTATTTAATCAACATTTCAAATCTGCCATGATATTCCTGGTGGTCTCTTGTTGCTTACTCATCTTTGTGATTCTATACTTTGAGCATTTCTTACATAGCTTCTCTCTGTTCTGTATCTGCCTATGCTACTAGCTCTAGTCCTGAGAGGATTCTCACTTGTAATGGCTTGCCTTCTTATATCCTTGGGGATCTCTGACTAAACTTATTGCTTAATTTTATCTTTGGGAGTTCTGTGGTTCTAATGACGGGGTGCTCTCCTGCAGAGATAATTTGTTTCTTACTATTTTGCCACTGACATAGGCTATTTCAGCCTTAATTGAGGGTGTGGACTTAACACAGTTGTTCTAGGCTCAGCTCACCTACCTTGTTCCTAGCCCAGTACTCCGTGTCCTAACGGACAGCCCTGCTTCTGTCCTTCTTCCCACCATTGAATTCCCAGCAGATGCCCTAACTTGCTGTGCAGTAATGGAGGCGATTGGAAGGTTGTCCTTGGAAACCTCTCTGCTTCTTGCATGTCAGCAATTTGACAAGTATGTTCTGGCCATAGACTTAGTTTTACAGCACAAGGGTCTCTCAGAGGATCTAGTCAAACATAATGCTTTGAACAGAAGTGAGACTTAAAAGGTTTTTAACTAATCAGTAGCTCTTTCTTTTTGAAATCCTTCCAGCCTGTATTCTCAATGTTAAAGCTATTTTATCTAAAAGGACTCATTTCCTTGTGTTGCTTCATATATCAGAATTTTGTGAATAATCATAATGGCAAAGAAGGAATTTACTTAAACACATTTTTGTTATTTTCTTGGTTCTGAAAAATACATACAGACCTAGAGTTAATAATTCTAATTTTTGGTGTGTAGCACTGCTCCTTTATATTTTTAAAACAAATGAAATATTTAAGCATTTGTTATATAAAACATACAACAAATTTCTGGAATGATAACATCCTGAATCTTTCTAAGACATTTTGGAGTAGAATACTGCTAAGACCTTTTGTCATCCTGGCCTTTCTTTCCATGGGAAAGTATGTAGACATTTCTTAAAAAAACAGGTTTCTGTCTGTTGCCAGCCCCATATCAACATTGTAATTAAGAAAGCCTTTTTCTTCTTATTGAACAGAGTGGAAGCTGCTGCCAATGCATGCTACTAAGAGCTTAAAAATACAGCTAATTAAAATTGGTTAGGAACAGTAGAACTTGCCAGGAGGTCTTTAATAGTAAGGTTTTAATGACTGGAAGAGAGACCTTCTCAAATGTCCTCTTTTAACTGGTATGGCTTAATTTATAATAAAATGTCATAAGGTCATTTTGTTTTCTGTGAGTTACATATTTAATAAAAGCTTATCTTCTTCAGGTTACAAGATTTGGAATTGTAAAGACCATAAGCTTGGAAATTTCAAAAAACTATTCAAAGAGTATATGGGTTTTGTTTGTTTGTTTGTTTAATGTAGTGTCTGGTAGTTTGGCTAAATACAATAAAAGTGTTCATTGGCCAAGATTTAAATCTATTAAGTAGACATAACAGAAGATCTTAACAGAAATTTGACTTAATTTCTAGATATAAAATAATGTTTCGTAACTTTTTACACTAGAATTATTGCAATAAAATTTTAGTTGTTAGGCAGAGTTTGGCCAGCACATTCTATAGCAACTTGCATATATTACATGTGCTTACTAAGCATAAAAAGCAGTTGTGTCCAATTTATTTATATTTGTCATAATGTAAAAGTTGGCAAGACATGAAGACCATATCATGTAATTATTTATTATATATCGAGACCACAGAAAGATATATAATACTCTTTAGGGAGATGGAGAACCAGAGAAAAGATATGATGCTATTTAAGAAGTTTGGGTTTTCAATCAAACACCACATGTTCTCACTCATAAGTGGATGTTGAACAAGGAGAACACATGGACACAGGGAGGGGAACATCACACACTAGACTCTGTTGTGGGGTGGGAGGCTAGGGGAGCGATAGCAGGTGGTGGGGAGGTTCGTGAGGGATACCATTAGGAGAAATACCTAATGTAGGTGAAGGGGGGATGGAGGCAGCAAACCACCATGGCATGTGTATAGCTATGTAACAATCCTGCAAGATCTGCACGTATACCCCAGAACTTAAAGTATAATTAAAAAACAAGAAGAAGTTTGGGTTTTCAATACGGCAATGTTAATATTTATGGATACAGTCATTAAACAGGGCAACTAGAAGCCACTCTGAATTCTTCATGGTTTCTATCTTGACATTTTTGTTTTGCCTTGTGAGAGAAGTAAATGTTGCTTTAAGTAACAACAAAAAATGAGGTACAGAATGGTACATCTCTTTATATGAAAGTATTAGAACAATGCACATCATGATTTTGAAATTTGTCATTTTATTTTGTAAAAACTATGTTTCCTGGGACATGCTTTTCTTGAAAATAGAAAAAATGCAAGGCATTTTGTGAATTATCTTGTACATCTAGTATTTTCCATGATTTAAAATAAAATGTGCTCTTTTAAAGTTTGAATTCAGATTCATTTGTGGTATGCACAGTGTTTCAAATTTGATAGATAAGATTTTATAGTATTGTGACACTTTTTTCTTTTATCTAACTTTTTTCTTTCTTTATCTAATTTAGTTCTGTATTCTCACTTTGTAAATTTAATTACTGTCTTGGCTTGGATTTAATGATTTCACCAAAAATGTTTATTACTGTCTTTTAAAAAATAGTATAAAAGTAATTAAATTTAAAGACTCCTAATAGTTACTTGTGGTACCTGTGTAGCTATGTAACCACAGGAGACAAGAATAGCTATATAGTATTAACAAAATATAATAAAATATTAGTATATAAATTATTATTAAAGAGGTTAAAGTTTAAAACAGTGTTTGAAATGAATTGTAATTTAAATTAATCAGTATCCTACTTAGTATCTTATTTGTTATCATGACAAATTTTGGCAGCCTATAACTTATTTTCAAGTGTAGTATTTTAAATGCTAGTTAATGTGTTAAAATCACAAGCATTTCTCCCCTTGTGTTTGACTAAAATTCCCACTGAAGATGAAAGGATTCATTTTTTGTTCTTTTTTTTTTTTTTTTTGAGATGGAGTTTCGTTCTTGTTACTCAGGCTGGAGTGCAATGGCGTGATCTCAGCTCACCGCAACCTCTGCCTCCTGGGTTCAGGCAGTTCTCCTGCCTCAGCCTCCCGAGTAGCTGGGACTACAGGCATGCACTACCATGCCCAGCTAATTTTTTGTATTTTTAGTAGAGACGGGGTTTCACCATGTTGACCAGGATGGTCTCAATCTCTTGACCCTCGTGATCCACCCGCCTCGGCCTCCCAAAGTGCTGGGATTGCAGGCTTGAGCCACCACGCCTGGCCCGATTTTTGTTCTTTTCTTAATACAAAGTTTGAACTTTCCCTCACAAAAATAATGGTTGAAAAATTGGGTGGTGTGATCATTTGTTTAATTTAACAGCAGGAAATTCTTTATCGTTAATGGTTTGATCATTTGTTTTATTTAACAGCAGGAAATTCTTTATCATTATCCAATGTCTGAAGCATCTCAGAAACTTAAAAGTGTAAGAGGGATTTTTCTCACACTCTGTGACATGCTGGAAAATGTAACTGGGAAACAAGTTACTAGGTAATAATTTTTATTTAGCTATAATTCTGTTTCTTCCAAGCTCTTTAATTTCACCCTGACAAATAAAGTGCTAAAATAAGTATCTGTTATACAAATATACTTGTATCTATAATGTATGTATATACATGTATATATCTATACATTGTAGATACTAGATCTGCAGAAAGTCTGTGGATTTCTGCTTCATCTAAGTTATTTCTACCAGTTATCTATTTGAAGTGTAGATTCTCAACGCAACTGTAATCTGGGTGTTTTGGCACATTTTAAATAACACTTGGGACTATATTTATTATTTCTTCATGAAGGTGTATTTTTTAAGCATGGCATTATTATGAGTCTCAGCTTTCATGTCTGTATCTCATTGTTTACTTGCTAGGCAACACCTTTGTGGCAAACAGAATTGGCAAGAATGACTGAACACCAGAATTGGTAATACAGTTAGGACATATTCTGTTCTTACAACAATGATAGAAAAATACAGAATGTTCTTTAGGAGGGCTATTCAGAATCTGAATTTTCCTACCCTTCCACCCTTCAAAATCTCCCATGTCTGTTATTCCACACCCTATGTCCATGTGTACCCATTATTTAGCTCTCATTTATCCCTTTAATCTAACTTGAATTAGGTTAAAGGCTTTAAAGTAGGACTTGACACTATAAAAATGCTAGAGAAAAACCTAGGAAAAAAACTTCTGGACATTGGCCTAGGCGAATAACTCATGACTAAGACCTCAAAAGCAAACACAACAAAACCAAAATTAGACAAATAGGACAGATGCATTTGTCATCTGTGTAGTTATTCAGTGATGGGTGAACAAAATTGATGTCAAATAATTTTATATTTAGAACTCATAATATAGGCAATTATAGAGTCAAATACCCATTCCATTGATTTATTAAGCCCTGACATTGAAATGCCATAGTTAATTTATGGGAGGAAGAGGCTCAAAGCTTTTAGTTTAGTTTTGTTTCGTTTTGTTTTTTCATATAATAAATCTAAGAATTATAGAGAATTTTTTCCTTAATATTTCAGCAATTTTAGACTTTACAAAGAAATTTAATCTCAAATTTCAAAAGTCTCCATAATACAGAGAAAATATCAAGTTGGATTTCTAGGCTTTAACATTTTTTCCCCCATATTCAGGTAGAAATGACATTTTTATGATTTTAAAATAGGTAGAATCTACAAGGTAATAGAATTTTCTTTTTTAACTAAGTAAAAGTCATGTTTAACTCTGTGACTTTAATATAGTGTATATACAAAATGTTAGTTTATTTTCAATACAGTGGTACCAGAGGCTCCATTTAGTTTATAAATTTGGGTTGATAAAAGCTTATTGCAGGTCTCTTTTTATTTTTTAAGCATCTTTATTGAGATATAGTACATAAGTGATACAATTCACACATTTGAAGTGTATGTGTAATCCTAAAATTGGTATGGAACCAAAAAAGAGCCCGAATAGCCGAAGTAATCCTCAGCAAAAGGAGCAAAATTTGGCCAGGCATGGCAAACCCCTAAGGGTTCCTGATCACATCACCTGGCTTCAGATTTTACTACAAGGCTGTAGTAACCAAAACAGCATGGTACTGGCATAAAAACAGACACGTAGGCCAATGGAACAGAATAGGGAACACAGAAATAAAGCTGCATGCCTACAGCCAACTGATCATTGACGAAGTTGACAAAAATATACACTGGGGAAAGCACACCCTGTTTAATAAATGGTGCTGGGAAAATTGGATAGCCATAGGCAAAATAATGAAACTGAACCCAGCTCTCTCATCATATACAAAAATGAACTCAAGTTAGCTTAAAGACTTAAGTGTAAGGCCTGACACTATAAAAATGCTAGAAGAAAACATAGGAAAAACTCTTCTGGACATTGATTTAGGCAAATAATTCATGAGTAAGACCTCAAAAGCAAATGCAACAAAACAAAACAAAAAAAAGTAGATAAATAGGACTTAATTAAACTGAAAAGTTTCTACACAGCAAAACAAAGAGTCCAGAGTCAATAGATAGCCTGCAAAATGAGAGAAAATATTTGCAAACTACACATCCGGCAGGTCACTAGTATCCAGAATCTATAAGGAACTCAAACAACTCGATAAGAAAACATATAACCCATTAAAAAGTGGGCAAAGGACATGAACAGACATTTTTCAAAGAAGACATACAAACGGATAACGTGAATATGAAAAAATGCTCAACATCACTAATCGTCAGAGAAATGCAAATTAAAACCACAATGAGATAACATCTTACACCAGTCAGAATGGCTGTTATTAAAAGGTCAAAAAATAACAGATATTGGTGAGGATGCAGAGAAAAGAAAATGCTTATACAGTGCTAGTGGAATTGTAAACGAATACAACCTCTCAGGAAAACAGTACAAAGATTTCTCAAAAAACTGAAAAAAGAACTACAGTTCAATCCAGTAATCCCATGACTGGGTATATACTCAAAGGAAAAGAAATTATTATATCAAAAAGATATCTGTACTCCTATATTTATGAGTACTATTCACAATAACAAAGCTAATAGAATCAACCTAAGCATCTATCAACAGATGAATGGATAAAGAAAATGTGGTTTATGTATATGCATGGATGGAATAGAAAAGAACAAATAAATAAATAGAATAAACTAAATAAATAAATGCAATAAATAACAAAGAATAAAATCATGTCATTTGCAGCAACATGGATAGAGCTGGAGGCCATTATATTAAGTGAAACAACTCAAAGTCAAATATTACATATTTTCACTTATAAATGGGAGCTAAATAATGTAAACACATGGACGTAGAGTGTAAAATAACAGACTTTGGAGATTTTGAAGGACAGGAGGGGAGTCAGAAATGAGAAACTACTTAATGGATACAATGTACACTCCTTAGGGCATGGTTACACTAAAAGCCCAGACTTCACCACTATGCAATATCTATGTATCAAAACTGCATTTGAACGCTTTAAATATATACAAATAATAAATGTAAAAGTATACAAGTAAATGGTTTTTGATATATTCAGAGATATGCACAATCCTCATGAAAGTCCATTTTAAAACATTTTTCTCACCTCAAAGAAATCCTATACCCTTTAGCTCAACCAACCCAACCCCTGGGCAACTGCTAATCTACTTTCCATTCCTATAGATTTCCCTGTTCTGGACATTACATTTGAATGGAATGATAAAATGTGTGACTATTTGTGACTGGCTTCTTTCATTTAGCATGATGTTTTCATGATGCATTCCTCCTTTTCAGTCCTATTAGAAAGAAAATTTAAGTTTCTCTGTGTGGGCTTGCTTTTTTTTTTTTTTTCTTGCCTTTATTTTTTCTACTGTAAAGAATAGGTGTTATTTTACCTAATATTTAATTTTGTTATTAACTATTAGAGAGGAGTTAAATGTGGAAAGCAGTAAATACAGTTAGAAAAACTTTTTTGAGAAGATGATGAATATGAAAATTATTATTTTAGGGCTTCCCTAGCAATGTGTGTATCTTTTGTTGCATACATACTTTTTTTTTTTTTTCGAGACAGAGTCTTGCTCTGTCACCCAAGCTAAAGTGCAGCTTCTACCTCTCAGGTTCAAGCAATTCTCCTGCCTCAGCCTCCCAAGTAGCTGGGAACTACAGATGCACACTGCCACGCCCATCTAATTTTTGTATCTTTAGTAGAGATGGGGGTTTCATCATGTTGGCCAGGATAGTCTTGATCTCCTGACCTCGTGATCAGCCCACCATGGGGGTTTCATCATGTTGGCCAGGATGGTCTTGATCTCCTGACCTGGTGATCCGCCCACCTCAGCCTCCCAAAGTGCTGGGATTACAGGCATGAGCCACTGCACCTGGCCAACACTTTTTAAACTGTAGTAATATTAGTATACTGTAAGAGTCTAATATTTGTCTAAAAGTATAGGCATTTTTAAAATGTGTTAAGACAAAAGTAAGGTTCTGTGTGAAAAAGTTCATTTAATAATTTGTATTTAAAATTCCACACACTTATGTTATCTATATTATCATAGTTCATTATTGTATCTCTTTTTAGAACATACTAAAATTTTTAAAACTTCATTGAAGTACCATGAAGTAAACTGAACATATGTAAAATGTACAATTTGATCAGTGTTCACATAGGTGTGTACCCTGAAATTATCAACACAATGAATATATTCATCACCGCCAAAAGCTTTCTTGAGAACACAGTTAAATCTGACTTATATTTTGGTTATTTGTTTATATATTTGTGTCCCATATTGATTGTTATCTCAGCCAGGACCATGTCTTCCTTTAGCAAACTTCATAAATAGGCAGTCACAAAACATTTGTTAAATTAACCAACTGAAATGAAACTTTCTTTTTTTTATTTTTTTATTTTCGAGATGGAGTTTTGCTCTTGTTGCCCAGGCTGGAGTTGCTCGGCTCACCACTACCTCCACTTCCTGGGTTCAAGAGATTGTCCTGTCTCAGCCTCCTGAGTAGCTGGGGTTACAGGCATCCACCACCATGCCCGGCTAATTTTCTATTTTTTACTAGATGGCCAGGCTGGTCTCCAACTGCCGACCTTAGGTGATCCGCCCACCTCAGCCTCCCAAAGTGCTAGGATTACGGGCGTGAGCCACCAGCGCCCAGCCCTTTCTTTTTCTTTCTTTTTTCCTTTTATTATTATTTTTTTGTGTGTGAGACAGAGCCTTACGTTGTCACCCAGGCCGGAGTGCAGTGGTACAATCATGACTGACTTCAGCCTGGACCTCCCAGCCTCAAGTGATCTTCTTATCTCAGTCCACCTCCCAAATAGGTAGGACTACAAGAACGCACGGCCACGCCCAGCCAACTTTTTTTTTTTTTGGAGAGATGGGGTCTCACTCTGTTCCTCAGGCTGGTCTCAAACACCTGGGCTCAAGTGATCTTCCTACCTTAGCCTCACTTAAGTGCTGAGATTATAGGTGTGATCCTGTACCCAGCTTTGAAGCTTTCTTTTGGAAAATTAAAATTATATTTAGTCACTTAATGTTAGCAAGATAATTTTAACTTTTTGGTTTTTTTTTCTGTAATGGGTCTACTTTTGTTTGGCCTAGAGTTTTCTTTTTCTTTTTTTGAGACAGAGTCTTACTATGTCGCTTAGGCTGGAGTGCAGTAGCATAATCTCAGATCATTGCAACCTCTACCTCCCCGATTCAAGCAGTTTTTGTGCCTCATCCTCCCAAGTAGCCAAGATCACAGGCATGCACTACCACACCAGGCTATCTTTCATATTTTTCAGTAGAGACAGAGTTTTGCCATGTTGGCCAGGCTGGTCCTGAATTTCTAACCTTAAGCAATCCACCTACCTTGGTCTCCCAAAATTCTGAGATCATAGGTATAAGCCACCACACCCAGGCTGGCCTAGAGTTTTGTGTTTTGGTTTTTCTTAATATGCTGAAGTATATTTTTATTGTCATATAATTCCTTGTCTTTTCTGTGTGACAGGTATATGAAAAGAAATCTACTTGTTAAGTGTGCAGTTCTTAAATTATACCATATGTAGTCTTTTATGAATATTTATAATTTTATGACATTTAAAGATATTCTAACCTTATTTTGAATTTATTGTTTTCTAGTTCATCCCTCCTTTTAAATGGAAAACAAATTCACATGGCTTATTGGAAAGAATCTGACAAGTTGTTGCTAATTGGCCTGCCTGCTGAAGAGTAAGTTGAGATTTTTGCTTACCTTAAAATCATTTCAAAATAATGTTAACTTTTGTTTTGTCAAAATTAGACATTTTTGTCAAAAGACAAACTCCTTGAACAGTTTTACAGTTTAAAGGTCTATTGCACTAGTAAAATAGTCAGCTGTGTTCACTTGGTATGAATAATGCTGAAAGGTGCCACGAAGCCTCAGTTGGGCCAGTTAGTAAGGGTGGGGGCTGTCAATACACCTGCCTCTTTTGTTGTCAGCGGAGAGGTGGCTGAGAGATGAGCTCTTCCTCTGCTTAAATTTCTGACAATACTGTGATTTGGATTTTGTATATTTACAGTTTTTTACTGTTGGAAGTTTTGGAGAATTAAGGGTCAGCGGAAGGGTATTTTGCCCTGATGTTGAGCATCTTTGAAAAGTGACTTCTCTAATAGTACATCTTACATTATCATGGTCACCCCTTTTTTGTGAGTATTTTGAAGTATACATTATTTTCATAGTTGGAGGTAAAAGCAGTATTGGCATTTATAATAAACTCACCTTGTGCTCCAGGGACTGCATTAGATACCTTAAATTCATTAAACTCATTTAATCTTCAAAATCACTTCCATATGTACATAGTTATTACTGGCTCCATTTTAGAGATGAGGAAAGTAAAATCAAAAGAGGGTTCAGTAACTTCCCAAAGTTCACATAATCAGCAAGAGGCAGGATTGGAAATTGATTGAGAGTCTGTCTGAATTCTTTCTACAACATTGATTCCCTAATGTCACAGGACATTGAAAACCAAGGGAGAAATAAACTACAAGTATGGAGAATGGCCTCAAGGAGATGGGCTTAACTACTATTATAATAGTGTTATGTTCCTGTTCAATGATTTTTAAAACTTGTAATTTAGACTTTTGCCTACTTTAACAGATATGCGGGCAACTTTTATTAAATAATTAAACATACTTTAATTTTCCCCTTTGATCTGTAGAATCATAGCCTATGGTCTACAAAATAGGAATCAAATATCAAAATAAATACTATAGTATGTGACTGATACAACTTCAGAAAATACCAGTTGAGATAAATTTTCTCGGTGTTGCTTCAAGCTTCCCAAGAAAGAAAAAGATGTACCAGAAAAATGCATTATCTGGCCAATTGGAGCATGAATATGACTATTTTTTATTACTAATGATTTTGTTAACTAGATTTCTTTCATTACATAGCAGTGTATTCATTTTTTATTGCTGTGTAACATCGTTCCCAAAAACATGGGGGTAATTTAAACTTAAATAGTAAACATTTATTGACACAGAAGTGTTTTGGTGGTTTGGGAATGTAGCAGCAGCTTAGCAGGTTGTTCTGCCTCAAGGTCTTTCTTGGGGTTACAGTCCAGTGTTGGCCAGGGATAGACTTATCTGAAGGCTTTAACTGGAGCTGGAGAATCCGCCTCCAAGATGGCTTACACACCTGGTCATTGTCGGGAGGCCTAGTTTCTTGCCACATGGAGCTCTCCATGTAGCTGCTTGGGTATCCTCATAAAATGTCAGCTGGCTTCCTCCAAAGTGGTAAGCCAAAAGACAGAAAAAACGGGACGCTACAAGACCTTTTATGGCTTAGGCTTAGAAGTGATACACTGTCATTTCCACAATATTTGTCATTCCCACCATTCTGTTTGTTAGAATTGAGTTACTAAGCCAGCCCACACTCATGGGGAAAGGAATTAAGCTTCGCTTCTTGAGGCAAAGAGTATCAAAGAATTTGTGGACATGTTTTACCATTAAAAACAGGAACGCCAAAGATGGCTACAGTGAAAAATATCAAAGTAATTATGTTTTTAAGGTTACTTTAATTTGGACAGAAAGCGATACAATCTATCATAAATATGGGGTTGAAATCTTTCAACATGGGGGGATAATGGCACTGTGACATATATTAGATGAGGGCACTCTTTAACCAGCCATGCAACAGAAAAATGTGTGTTTTTCTCTCTAAAGTAGGATAATGAACCCTGCTCAGAGACTGTCCTGTGGGTTTGGATTATGAGAAACAAAGGAGTTGTTTAGAAAGTGTGGGTTTGTAGCTGGGCAGTGGCTCACACCTGTAATCCTAGCACTTTGGGAGGCCAAGGCTGATGGATTGCTTTGCGCTCAGGAGTTCAAGACCAGCCTGGGTAAGAGGGTAAAACCCCATCTCTACAGAAAATACAAAAGTTAGCCAGGCATGGTGGCACGTGCCTATAGTCCCAGCTACTTGGGAGGCTGAGATGGAAGGATTGCTTAAACCTGGGAGGCAGAGGTTGCAGTGAGCTGTGATGGTGCCACTATTCCAGCCTGGGTGACAGAGCAAGACAATGTCTCAAAAAAAAAAAGAAAAAAGAAAAGAATAAAAAGAAAGTAATTACGGATTTACAAGAATTGGAGAACATCCAGAGTAAGATGATTTAGGATGTAGCATGTGTCTTGAAGACTTTTGTAGCAGCCCAAAAGGCAAAAGAGAAGAAAGAAAATACAGTGGTAAGATAAAGGTAGCACAGGCAGTTAGAGAGAGGAAAGGCAGACCTGGCTAAGGAACCGAGCAACTGTTTAACCACAGTCTGATGACACCAGCTGAATCAGCTAGGCAGAGACTGTTTCCAGGTGAGATTATATCCTGAAGCCAGCAAAGGGCTGTCACTGCTGAGCTCTGGATTAAGATTGTGCCACGTAAGGGATGCTCTAGCCAATTTCTCAATCTTTATTAATCAGGATGGTGGAAGAGAGGCCATCTTCCCTAAATATTTATGACATCCCCATCCTAAATAACTTGGCTTGATAAGTTAGAATTAATTTGAAAATCCTCTTTATTCTCTTTCCTGAGCTTCCAGTGAAAAGTAAGCTTGAGCCATCTCTTTATCCTTCTCTTAATGCTCACACCAGCCCACTGTTCAGATTATTTTCCTTCTTCCATCTCATTTCACATAACTATAAAAGATAGATAGTATTATTGTCATTTATTCAAACTTGGAAATAGAGTATTTCGAGATCATACACAAGTACCTCCTCAGTGTCAACTTACGTGTCTTCGTATCACCAACATTTTGCACGTGTTTTGTAATCGAACTCAGCCCTGGGACTTTTCTCCTTGTCTATCTCAGTGCCATAGGCTGTGTGTTTCCCTCCTCACCTCTATGCCTTTTATAAGCAGGGTGAAAAAAATGCTGTCCCACGGAATTCAGGGTGGGGCACATGATCGAGTGACATGTGTTTTCAGATAGGACGATCACACTCCCATGATGGCTGCAGTGAATAGTGGAAACCTAACCAGAAGGACAGTGTAGGATAGTGGGAGAATAACTTTGGGTCTAAGAAGATGAATGCTCACTAGCAGGCTCTATTCCCTTTCTACCCCTGCACAAATTATATAGCTTCTTGGACTTCCATTTACTCATTCATATAATCGGAATAATAAGACCTACCTTACAGAATTCTTATAAGGCTTCAGTGAGAAAATATAAGTCCATTTCTTTATTTTCTTAAACCCTTTCTCCATTTCATTTAGGAGTGTGTTTTTGTTACAGGATTTGGAGGCCCAGTTGATATGTGGGTAATATTAAAAAGTGTCAAGAATGTAGCATTTCTTTTTATAGGCTCAGGTCATGTAAAAACTAGTTTATTTACAGATTTCATTTAATCCTTAGAATCAGTCTGAGAAGGGCTTAGTGATTAATTGGCCTCATTTTACAGATAAAGAAACTGAACTTTAGAGAGTGTTACATGATTTTCAAATAAATGTTATAAAGTCCCTGTTAGATTCATGCTGGAATGAAATCTAGAATAAAGTGATCAATGGTTGTTGAAAGCAACTATTTTATATATCTTTATTCAGAGTTGACACATATACTTTTCACATTCCATATGTGTAAAATTCAAAGATGTTCTCTTCTTTTAGATAAATATAATTTGATTATGCTGTAAAGTAATATGTATAATTTTGCTTTTTAGAGTTCCTCTTCCTCGGCTAAGGAGCATGATAGAAAATGTAGCCCAAACCTTAAAATTTATGTATGGTTCTTTAGATAGGTAAGTACTTCTTCAAATTGAATCTCAAGTTTTAATTATGTGATTCCAAGTCACCTTTCGCATTTAACACCATTTCTTGCTTGACACATTAGTTGTTTGTCTCCTCTTCCTCCTCCTTTCCCCTTTCCTCTTCCCCTTCCCTCCTCTTCCTCCTCCTCTTACTTTCTTCTTTCTATTTCGTTATTCCTCCTCTTCTTTTTCTCCTTCCTCTTCTTATTTCCTCATCTTTTATTACTGTCTTTCATATGACAACAATAGGTAGTTTTCATTTCCTTCTTTTTCTTTTTTGGTCTCATATATTACTTTAGTGAAATTTCTTAGTGAATTAGGGACATAACTGCAACTGTGTTCTGATTTGAAATATTTCTGTAGGGGCAAATGTAAAAGCATCTCTTCATAATAGATACAGAAAAGGGAAAGATTTAAACTACATTTTTGTGTTTTTCTTTGCTTATAAGATGATCAAATTCACTATCCTGAAATAGGATGCTTCTTTCTCAAAAAATTTTTAGTAAGAAATGTATGCACTATAAAAAAAAGACATACAGTAGAGATGGTATTGATTGGTTTTTTTTGTGTGTGTCCTTCCATATATTTTCTATACAATAAAAAAAACATACTCCTTTTTTAACATAAGTATGCTTTTACGTATATTTTTCTGCTTCTTGCTTTTTTAACCTTCATGATCAGAAGACAGAAATTTGAGGTAACATTTAACATTTGAGCACACAAAATTAGGTATAAGAAATCGATTTTTCTCTTAGTGACTTCTGTTCTTGTATTTCTGAGGGCTGAAATGTTATCTTTGTATTTAAAGCCTTACAAGTATATCAATACAAAAATCCAAAAACAGTTTGTACATTTCTCCAAACCATAGTGGTATCAGCTCTTGGTTTATCTCTAGTGGATCTTTGTTATCATTGTTCTCAAAGCATTATGAAGGAATTTTCTGTAATTGTGTCATCTGGGAAAATTATCTAGTTTGCAGTGTTTTCTAGAGGAATCTCTGAGGAGGCACATCCCTGTCAAACCTGATTACTTACCAACATTTTCCAGATGAGTGAGTTACAAAGAGCTGGGCATCGGAACATAGTGCTTTTACCTTTTACTAATAAGGAAATTTTTAAACAATGAAGACTAAGAATACAGTTATGAACTGCCTCCTTAAGTTTAGTTGAGAGAAGCAAACTTTGCCGTATTTTGCCCTGATTGAAGCTTTCTGTTTTCATAAAACCAGAGATTATCAAAGATTAAATTTTTGCAATGAGTTTCATACATGAAAACAGTCCATTGGCGTTGCTCTACAAATTTCATTAGAGTAGACTGGGGACAGAGGGACTTAATTTCTCTTTCATCTTGAAATTTATCTTCCATTGATTGTGGAAGTATCTTTTTGATGGCAGCAAATTTAACTCTTTTCTACTTGTTCAAGTGAGAATTTAAAGAGCAAACCACAATAATAAATGTGAAGCTCCACTGAGTTCTTAAAACCAAGAAGCAGAGTGAATCCAGGATGTTATTAATAGACATTTTGTGATAATTTTTATAACAACTTTTTTTCTGACTATGAAAGATATTAAGGGCCCATTGTGAAAAATTACAAAAAGACCAAAAAGTATAGAAACTTAATTATTTTTTTAAAGTTGTGAGCTGGTTAGTTCTCTATGAGCCACAGAAAACTGACTATATACTAACAGTGTAATGTTGTGACCAAATTAAAGCTATAAAATTTCCTTCACCATTCCCAGCGAATTCATCAAGTCCTGATCAGTCTGTCTTCAAAACCTCCAAACCACCCGTTTGTGTATGTCTACTATTGCCCTGTCCAGCTACGGCTGTCTCTCACACACTACAGTAGCCTCTTAACTTGTCTGCTTCCCATCATTCTTGCCACTTGAACTCATTTTAATATAGCAGTTAGAGTGATCTTTCTGCAGTATTATCTGGCTCCTACCTACCCTTCTGATCTCTGATTTCAAACCACACATGCCCCTAGGGACTGTGTTGCAAACACCCTGACAAAGCTTTTCCCCACCCCAGGCCTTTTTTATTTTTTCTTCTTGCTAGATTTCCTGACATTGGAATATCAGCTTAAATGCCTTTTCTCAGAGATTCTTCTCCAACCATTCAATCTAAAATAGCCAAACTGTCATACCACCCATTCACATTGCACTATTTTCTGCATAGTCCTTTATATGAATCCATGTTTTTTACTGTTTGTTCATTTGTTGTCTTTCTTCACTGGAACATAAGCTCCACAGGAGCTCATTGTCTTTTGTCTTGATGGTTTTACTGCTATACCTTAGCAATGCAAATAGTGCCTGGATTGTAGCAGTCACTCAAATATTTGTTGGATGAATCAGCGAATATTATTTTGATATGCCGATAGCATATGTACCTGCTATTTTGTCATTCAGTGGGCTGTTCCAATAAATGGTTGCAGTGAATGCTGTGTTACTTTTATATGGCTAAAAGCAAGCATTTCTTTTTTTTCTCTCGTTTTGTTTTTTGAGTTCTTTAATGTTATACCTTCAGTAGTAAAGACGGGAGGAAATAACTTATCCTTATTATGTACTTACTGTGTACCAGTAAATAATAAGCATAATAAGAACTTATGCTTATTATGTTCTAGGCATTCTGCATGTGAGTTAGATTGTACTAACCCTAGTTTCACAGAGTTGGCAACCAAAGTTAGAGAGGTTAGGTGATTTGCCTGGGATAGCTACCTAGAAAGAGCTGTAATAAGCAAGATCTGTTCTATTACAAATTTCAAAATCTCTTTATCATTCCACATTGCCTGAAAGATATTGGGAAATGTAAATGGTTGAGAGATAGTCAGAGGTAAAAACAACCTACATTTTTTACAAAAAGGGCACCTCAGCCCTTACTGTTGTAGATATGTCGCTTGTGTTAGTCCTGTGGTTCTTCCATAGAGCATCTACTCAGTACATTTGAGAGTAGGTTTTAGGGTAAAAAATATGGACAGGGTGAATTTCTTTACACACTCCATCAGTAACATTCTAGCAGTGATTCTATTAAGTGAGGAGAGGAGTGAGGAAGATAGCCTACGTAGTTGGGAAAGATCTGGTCCCCTTAGGAGCACACAAAAAATGACCACCAGTTATCTTCTGTATTTATATTTGAATAAAGAAATTCTATGAAAAAAAAAAAAATGACCACCATTTCCATATGTTGTTCTAACTCACAGCTCTTATGTCTCCAGTGCCTTTTGCCAGGTTGAGAATGTTCCTCGTTTGGATCATTTTTTTAACTTGTTCTTTCAAAGAGCACTTCAGCCTGCAAAACTGCATTCCAGTACCAGTCCCAGTGCTCAGCAGTACGATGCTTCCAGCGCAGTACTTTTAGATAACCTCCCTGGAGTCCGGTGGCTCACACTTCCACTGGAAATCAAGGTAATCTTAGGTATTATAAAGAAGAATCAGAACCAGGTGCCTTATTATAATCTTTTATCTTCTCTTTTTTCTTAGAGTTTTTGTTATTTGGGAATTATGGTTAAAAATTGGAGAGGCAATTGGTTGACAAAGTAGGAGGTCCAGTGCAATAAACCCAGAAAGAGAAATTATTCTTTATAAATAGACATTAGCTTTTTCCTCTTTAAATTTAAGCTTTGTGCAAGCTGGGAATACCTTTCAGAAATTGTAATTAAAATGGTGTGCCTTACTTTGGAATTTTGTGACTTTGGTTTTATAATGTCAAGTTATCAAGTTAGAATTATGTTTCTGTACAAAAAAAAAATAGATGACATGTTGACTAACAATATTCTCGGTTAAAATACAAAGTTCACTAGTCTACCAAAGTCTTTTTTTTTTTTTTTTCTTAAACATAATTATTTGCGTTTACCTTTTGGCTTGTTCCATAGATAGCATACCAACAGTAAGACTACATGACGGTTAAGTATTATCAATACGATTTTAGTCATATCTGTATACCTAAAATAACTTAATTATTGAATGATTGACAAGATTATTTCAGACATTTTCCTCAGTGTAGATAACCATATAATCTGTTCGGTTACAGCATTTGTGTTAGTATAAAATGAGGCACTATGCCGTAGCCACTTCTCTACCCATGAAGGAACCTAGGCTATGTTACAATAGAAACCTAATTCAAGGTTCTTATTTTCATTAGATTCTACAATGTATGATCAAATAAATGGCTTTTTGATAGTTTAATAATTATTTAAATTGATGTATCAATCATTTCGCTCAGTTTCCTTATTTGTAAAATGGAGGAAATTATAGTACCTACTTCATAGAAGAGTTGTGAGTTATTACACATGAAGTACTTAGACTTGTGCCTAGGACATTGTAGTTGTAGTTATGGGAGCATTATTATACAATTGCTATTTGAAAGGAGATGAGGTGTTAGAGCATGTTCAAAGGATGCTTTGCCTTCTGGTATTTTTATTTTGTCCTTAGCTCTATCAACTGCCTGGTGATGTATCTTTTGATATCTCAGGACAATAATTACCTTTTCTTTCCTTTCCTTTTTTTTTTTTTTTTTTTAAGACAGGGTCTTGCTCTGTCACCTCAGCTGGAGTGGGAATGCAGTGGCGTGATCATAGCTCACTGCAGCCTCCACATCCCAGGCCCAGGTGATCCTCCCACCTCAGCCTCTCGAGTAGCTGGGACTACACATGCACACCAACACACCTGGCTAATTTTTGTATTTATAGTAGAGACAAGGTTTCTCCATGTTGTCCAGGCTAGTCTCAAACTCCTGAGCTCAAGCAGTCTGTCCGCCTCAGCCTCCTAGAGTGCCGGGATTGCAGGCATGAGCCATGCTACCTGGCCTACCATTTTCTTAAATTGTATAAAAAGTAAAAAGTATGAGATATATGATTCTACCTCACTAATGTTTTCATAAGAATATGCTGATGCCTGTAATCTTTGTTCTTTTGGAGGCTGAGGTGGGAGGATCACTAGAGGCCAAGAGTTCAAGACCAGCCTGGATAACATAGGAAGACCCTGTCTCCACAAAAATTTTAAACATTAGCAGAGCATGGTGGCATGTGCCTGTAGTTTCAGCTACTCAAGAGGCTGAGGTGGGAGGATTACTTGAGCCCAGGAGTTGGGCTCCCCCTCAATCATAGTTGTAGTAAGCTATTATTGCACCACTGTACTACAGCAGGGCAACAGAGTGAGACCCTATCTTAGGAAAGGAAAGGAAAAAGAAGAGGGAAAAGGAGAAAGGGAAGGTAAAAGCAAAAAAGAAAGGAAAGGAAAAGGTGAAGGAGAAAGAAAGGGGAAAGGAAAGGAAGGGAGAAGGAAGGGGAAGGGGAAGGAAAGGATATAAGTGTTTAATATAGATAGAAAGAAAGTAGCTAGATAAATTTACTTTTAAAAGAGAAACACCCTGGTTCTAAAGACTGTCTCATGTCCATCCTGGGGTCTTTTTTCCTCAGGCAGTCACAGGGCCCATGTCCACATCATGAGTCAGAAGGTACTATCTCATGAGGCTTGCCATTCTGCCTGGCCATTACCCAGGTTCTTGCCCCTCTGTCAGAATTTCTTCATTAAAGAAACCTCTCCCCTCAAAATACATAGTCCCTTCTTTCTGTGATAGTAGAGGTAACTTACTGTTTTAGGGGCATTGTGTTTAGAATTTAGCTACATTAAGGCTATATATTATCTTCCCTCTAAGAAGTTTAAGATGTTTAAAAATATAGCCTATTTTGGGCTTGCAAATTCTGTGTGAAGGCCACCTCTTATACTGATTTCTTTTTCATTGAGATTTTTGTTAATTTAGCATATATTTCATTAAAAGATTTATATGCTTTTCTTTATTTCACCCAAAAAGAATATCAAAGTAAGAAATCACTATGAAAATTCTGGTATATATTTTTTAATTCATTGCCTTAAATCAGAGCTGTTGCTTATCTTGTCAATGCTTTGGTTGCTTTTATCCTTATTACGTCTAACACTACTGTGTGGAGATCAGTGTTCATTGTGCCAGTTGCGCAGGTTTGTGCTGTGCTTTCCAGAATCTAGAAAACCCTCTAGATGTTCACAGTCAAGTTGAGCAGGTGAAATTAATACACAGGAAACAGTAAGGATCTGGCTTAGATGTTTTCTACATTTTGCAGCCCGGTTAGGAGACTAAGAACAATACTTTTGGGAAGAGAGATAGATTCCTTCTGCTAAAGTAGTCTAAAAGTTTATTTGATTAATATAAAATTTGAATAACAGTAACATTTGAAGTTTTTTTTCAAAAAAAATCTTTTTTTTTAACTGCAGTTTTAGGTTCATAGTAGAATTGAAAGAAAGGTACAGATTTCCCACATACCCCTCCCCACGTACATCACGCATACATAACCTCTCCATCATCAACATTCTCCACCACAGGGATACAGTTGTTATAACTGATGAACCTACATTGACACATCTTAATAACCCAAAGTCCATCATTTAAATTAGGGTACATTCTTGGTGGTGCACATTCTATGGATTTAGACAGATTGAATGACATGGATTCATCCTTTTAGTATCATACAGAGTAATTTCACTGCCCCAGAAATCCTCTGTGTTCTGCCTATCCCTCTCTTTCATCCCTTCCTTACCCTTAACCCCTGGAAACAATTGATCTTTTCACTGTCTCCATCATTTTATATTTTCCAAAATGTTATGTAGTTGTAATCATATAGTAAACAGCCTTTCCAGATAGACTTCTTTCACTTAGTAATATACATTTTAAGTTCCTCTTTGTCTTTTTACAACTTGATAACTCATTTCTTTTTAATGTTGAATATTTCATTGCTCAGATGTACCACAGTTTATCCATTTGCTGGAAATCTTGGCTGCTCCCAAGTTTTGGCAATTAATTGTTGGTCAAATAGCAAGAGAATGTTTAGTATTATAAGAAACTGCCAAACTATCTTCCAAAGTGGCTGTATTTTGTATTCCCATCAGCAATGAATGAGAATTTCTATTGTTCCATATCCCTGTCAGAACTTAGCTTTGTCAGTATTTTGGATTTTGGTCATTCTACTCTGTCTAGTGCTGTCCCATTGTTATTTTAATTTGCATTTCCCTGACAATCATATGATGTGGAACATCTTCTCATATGCTTATTTGCCATCTGAATATTTTCTTTAATGAAGTGTCTGTTAAGGCCTTTGGCCCACTTTTTTTTTTTAATTCAATAGGTTTTTAGGGAACAGATGGTGTTTGGTTACATGAGTAAGTCCTTTAGTGGGGATTTCTGAGATTTTGGTCCACCCATCACCCAAGGAGTGTACACTGTACCCAGTGTATAGTCTTTTATCTCTCATCACC